CCACCAAACGTCCAGACTTCTGGGTGCCCTTGCAGCACTCCCTCCCAGGGCTGGGGACGCCAGGGCAGGCACTCGGGTGTGTGCGGGGAGTCCGGGCCGCTCCCTGAGCCCGAGGTCCGTGTGAGCGGGGTCAGTGCGGCTGCCTGGCTCTCAGCTCAGCCCCACCCGCCACCGCCTCTGTAAACGCCAAGGTTAAGGACGTAGGCGTGTTTGTCTCGGTGCCGCAGGCTGGACTCCGGAGTCTCAGGTAGATAGTGAGAGTGCGCCGGCACACAGGAGAAAGGGGGCGGCCCTCCCTCTCCAGCACCCCCGCCCGCTGCCCCTGTCCGGTGGGCCCAGGAAAGAAGTCCACTCGTGAGGAAGGCAGAGCACCTTCCGGGCAGACGGGGGTCCCCCAGGAGTAAAGACAGGCCGGACCACGGCGCCGGGCACCGAGGGCGCCCCCTTTTTTATTTCAAAGTCTTTTATTACAAACTCGCAAACGTGCCATCCTGTGGCGTGACAGCGTCGCACCCCAGCACACCCTGTGGCATTCCAGGGGCCGTGTTCGACCTGGAGCTGCGAACCGTGAGGTCCGCGCGGTCACCCCGCCACCCACACTGCGCGGGCCCTCCTTCTGCGGGACCCTGAGTGTTGGGGCATCTGCTTAGTTAAGCATAAATGCTTTTCTAAGTGTCAGTGGTGTACGTTAATGTAGACAAAAGGGAAGGACGCGTGAGCTTTCAGCGAGTTCACGGCACGTTTCCCGGCCTCCGCGTTGGGATTCTTGAAAAGGGCGAGAAGACTGATGGGTGGATGGACGGGGAAGCGGAGCTCGGCAGGCAGGCGGTGGTCCGCGCGCACTGCGGAGGCCGGGAGGCGCCCTCCCCCTAGTGGTGAGAAGGGCGCAGCGCAGGCCGGCCGGCGGGGGCGGGAGGGGGTCTTCCCGCAGCTCCTCCTGCACCGCACCTGGGGAGAGCCCTTTCTGGCACCCAGCTCCGCGGGAGGGACAGGCGGGGCCCTCGGGTGGTGAAAACTTATCCCGGTCACTTAAGTCCGCCTTCCAGCTGCGTTGCCCCCGGAGCGCAGGCCTGGCGTGCACGCCGCCGACGCCAACAGCCGGGTCCCTCCGCCCCGCGGGGCTGCGGGAGGCCCCGGCTCCGACCCAGACCCTTCTCGGTGACGGGGATCCCTGTCCCAGACTCCCCGGGAGTCCCAGGCTGGCTTCTGCCGAGCTTCACCCCGGCCTGGGCAAGGAACCGAGGGGCTCACCTGCCTCCTCCTCCGGCCCCTGTGCCCTCCGGGTTCCCGGGGCCCAGGTCCGGGATGTGCGCCAGGAGAGGGAAGAGTTCCCTCGGCCCCCCTCACCCTCAGGGTTAGGGGATGGGTCTGTGGAATGGACTGACATGACTCAGGGGTGTCAGACTCGTTGTCACCCCCGAGGCCACCTTCAAAGGGCCGAATGTAACTTCGGGACCACCTTCAAAGGGCCGAATGTAACTTCGGGACAGTGTAAGTGTAACTGCTCCTTGACAGGTAAGTGAGAGCTCGGCGCTGCCGCCAGGTGGAGACAAGGTGCTGGGCCCGATACAACGAGGTGGGGGCCTTGTGTCTGCCACCTGTGGAATGATAGCTCCACCGGAGAGGAGGCATGCGATTTTGTTGAGGTTAAACAATGTATTACGTGGAACGGGGGACTTCGTAGAAAGAAGAGAAAATCCTCAAGGAAAGAGGGACGCTTGGAGGCTGCTGTGCCGTTCGGGCAGCAGAGGTCAGGGTCACTGATGCCGGTCCCCCTGAGTGACCGCACACTCCCCCGGGCCGGCTCGGAGGCCCGGCCCCCCGGCTGGCGCACACCGATCCGCAGCCACCTCTGGGGGAGGCCCCCGTGCAGGAGAGACCTTGCAGGCGGGCTGGAAGCCCACTGGCGCGTCTGTCGGAGAGCTCTGTGCTCCCCCGGGAAGCGCGGGCCGGTGATGCTGAGAGTGTGTCCCGGCTACGGGCCGCGTTGTCGTGGGGGAAGCTGGGCAGGAGGGACAAAGCTCTCCGTCCCACTTTTTTGCAATTTCTTGTTGTCTGAAATTTTTAAATACAAGATATTTTTCAATGAGTAAAACATGTTTTAATCAGACAAAAAAACCCACAACTGTGGGTGGGCTGGTGAGCGCCCAGTTGGGAGTGGGATCCTGGCCTTTCAGGCCAGGCACAGCTGCGGGAAGGGCCTCCGGAATCTTCCGGCGCAAACCGTAACTCCTGCTTGGACCACAAGCTTGACACGCTTCCTAGAGGCAAAACCATGCGTTCAGCAGGAAAGTAACGCCCAGCACGGTACGTTTGCATTTGGGGCCACAAATTCCAGTGTGCCAGAAATTTTACTCGTCCACTGCTGGGTCAAATCCGCCCCCAGACGGGACGGCCTCCCACAGGAAACACCTGTCCTCCCGGGCCCAGGGCTCCAGGAGCCCCGCGGGCTGCCGTCCAGGTGTCGTCGGTTGGGCTGAGGTCTTGCCTGTTGCCTGAAGGCGCAGCTGGGGGGCGGTTCCCTGGGAAGGTCCGGAGCGCGATTGGCAGGGTGCACTTCCTGTGGGGCCGGAAGCCCAGCTCCGTGCTGACCACTGGCACGGGCCTCCCTGCGTGCGTCCCGGGCTCCTCCGGGGGCTGCAGCCAGCTCCTGTCGGAGCGAGTGGGAGGAGGCCGGAGAAGGCGAGAAGAATGAACACGGACGGGACATCCCGCCGCTCTTGCTGCGTCCTTAGGGTCATGTGCAAGGGGGACAGGTGACAGACGTCAGGACGACGGGGACCTCCCCCTGTCTGTCCGCCAGAGCCTGCCCTTGGGCACCCGGGAACTCCGCCCTGACACTGGTAAGACATGGTCGCCCCCCCCCTCCGGAGGTCGCACCCCATTCAGGCATGGACTCCAGGCCCCGACTCTCATCGCCGAAGTGAAGTCCAGACCGCACTCGGCCCCCGAGGCTCATTAAGTGCCATTGACCTGCAGACCGGCGAACGGGAGGGGCGTCATCTGCCCCATCCCAGCCCACGTGCAGTGGCACTGGCTGGGCACGGGGGTGGGGGGGGCAAGGGGAACGAGGGGGGCCGGCCGCACAGGGCCCGGCCAGTGCCGGGAGTCTCCCAATGTTCCAAGTCCCTGCGGCTCGGGGCTGTGCCCTCGGAGTTCGCCGCCCCCCCCCACACCATCCTTCCTTTTCCCTGGGAAGTATCTGCAGGTGAGACGTCCTGTCGGCCTCTTTCCTGCCCGAGGGTTGGGGCAGGGCTCACGGGCCCCGTTCGTTTTCCCAAACACCCCCCAGGCTTCCTGTGGATTTCCTGGGTCCACGCCACGGGCGAGTGCCGCCCACAGGCCTTCGGAGACCGCCCTGGCCCCGCGGCGTGGCCGAGCCACGCCCTTGAGCTTCCTGGAGGCGCCGTTTCAGCGAGAGTCGGCTTGAGATTGCCACCCTTTGATGGTTTGCCGAAGGGACGCCTAGTCACACACCCCCCCTTTCCCCCAAGACACAGGGTCCCGACAAGAAATCTCTTCGTTTTGGTAGACCCTAACCGCACCTTATTCCTCCAGTCACTGTCCAGGAAACCTCGTCCACTGCGTGAAGAAAAGCAGAGATGAAGACGGGAGGGGGAGGAGGGGAACGAAGGGGAAAAGCATTTGGACCCATGTGGGCACGTCCCCGATTATTTCCTAACACGCGTTCCTCGTGGGCTCCTTGTGATTTTCAGGAAACACTGTCCTTGAGGAACACAAAACACGGGCGTGAGGAGGAGACAGGAGCGCGCAGAGTCTGGCTGCCAGCGCGCAGAATCCTGCGCAGGGCGGGGCAGCTGCGCGCGGGGGAAACGACAGCTGCGGGGCGCACTCCTGGCAGATCTGCGCCCGCCCGCCCCGCCCGGTGTGTCGTCCAGAGACGCCGCTGGTCGCTTCCTCCGGGCCTGGGCCCGCCGCTCCGGGCTCTCCTGGCCTCCCCGGTGCGAGTGCGGGCTCCCCCGCACAGAACACAGCTCCGTCCCCAAAGCGTGCTCTTCCCGCTCGGGTGGACGCCTGATCTCCACACGGCTCAGGTTGATAGTGTGATTTACTGAGTGGGCAGGGAATTGGTTTCCTTGCTTTTTTTTTTAAAGATTTTATTTATTTTTATTTTTTAGAGAGGGAAAGGAGAGAGAGAGAAATGTCAATGTACAGTTGCTGGGGGTCATGACCTGCAACCCAGGCATGTGCCCTGACTGGGAATCGAACCTGCGACACTTTGGTTCGCAGCCTGAGCTCAATCCACTGAGCTACACCAGCCAGGGTGGTTTCCTTGCTTTTCTAAAGCTTTCTTTTCTCTACAGGGTTATGAAGTGAGTACTGTGTTTCAGGTAAGTTAACACATTGAATGCGTTCAAGGAAATGGCACACCGAATCCTCAGTTTTCAGAAGAGGCCTTTAGGACTCCATCCCCACCTTGGGTAGGGCGTTAGGAGCATGTGAAGTTACAGAAGTGTACCCTGGGCTCCCCTCGCCAACCCACCTACTGTGTGCGTGCGTGGGTAGGCTGCAAGACACAAGCCCGGCTCATCACTCGGCAATGTTGCTCACACCCCGAGTCACCGGGGTCACCGGGGTGCAGGGGGTCACAGCCCCTTGAGGTGCACGGGTGGGGCTCCTGGCCAGTCACCCGCCTGTCTGGCAGTGATGTCATCTCGCTAACCTACCTGGGGTTAAACGAAAACACGCCCCGGAGGCCACCCGGAGGAGACCCACTTGGTCCAAAGGGAGGGTGTGTGTCCACTCGGGGGCCAGCACCTGGCGGCTGGGGGTCGCGTCTGGCACAGGAGGCGCCCAGGAGGCCACACGGCGGAACCGGGAGCAGCCCTGGCCTGAGCTGGAGCAGGGTTCGGGTGTCCCAGCCGCTGGAGCAACCGGGGACACACGACTTCTGCCGTTTCTATGCAGCTGCGGAGCGGGCGCTGTGGGTGCGTCCACTCTAATTTACACGTAGACCGGTCCAAGGGAATAAATAATGAAATGCATTTATTTTACATCTACTGTGCTTGTCCATTAACACAGATTTATCTGCACCATTTCCCTTCAGTGGCAATCATGCCCTCGTTTTCCAGCAATTTTCTGTGTTTTGTGAAATTGTGTGTCCAGATTGTCCCCCATCCCCGCCGCTGAGCCCCGCCGGGTCAGAAGCGTGTGCTCGGCCGGGCCGCCTCCCCAGGCGGGGGAGGCCAGCACCGCCTGCACCCCAGCCTCCGGGAAGACGGGGGTCATCTGGTCCCGCAGGGGGTGCAGGGGGCTGCGGGTGGGGCGCCACGCGGGCACACCGCTGGCCCAGTCCCTGTGTGACACGGGCCTCCGACCACGCGGTTTCCTGAAACGAAGGGGGAACCCATGTGTGCCTCCCGGCCACCGTGAAAGCAGTCCCGAGGGCCTGCGCCAGTCTGGAGATGGACGAGTGACCCTGCCGAGGACTCTGGCCCCGGGAGGGTCACCTCTGCATCCGGTCTCACAGATGTGCACACGCGGACGGAAAGCCCGTCTTTCACTGACTGACATGCTGTGTGGTCACCGCTTTCTCAGCCCCACGTGCGACGCAGTTGTCTGAGGGGTGGACCCCGTGCCTCTCTGCCCCTCACTAACAATCCTGTTGGTGCATGCGCGAGCACACACACACACACACGCCCCCCCAGCCAGAAAGCCCACTTTATTCAACAACTGTGACATTCCATACTTTGAAAATACCATTGTGACTTTTTAAAAAAGCCAATGAGTCAACCAAAAAATCGCCAAGAAGTGCATTACTGTAAAGAGTCAAAACGTCGACACTGTGCACGGGGAGTCGGCCGTGGGGACCGCCACCCCCACCCTCGGCCCCCAGGACAGCGGAGGACGCGTCCCCCGCGGCTCTCCCTGCGCTTCCCAGCCCCCGTGCGGACCGCAGCGCTGCCGGCCTTTCCGCTGCGCAGGGCCGGGGCTCGCTGCCCGCTGGTGGGCGTGCACTGGGTCGTGAGGGACCGCCGCGTGAGACCCCACAAACAGACTCGACAACCTCTGTCACCGGATGTTTGGGTTTCGTGCTCTTTCGTGTATCAAATGTCTCGGCGACCTTACCTGGGTGGCACCGACCCCCGGCAGGGGACAGGTTCCAGTGGACAGGATCGAGTTGCCTCCTAGCAACGCCGGACTCAGCACACGCCCTGCTGCGGCCAGCGCCTGCCTCCGAGTCCGCACCGACACGGAGAGCCACGGGCGGCAAGTCCCCCCCTTCCCCAGGGTTTCAGTGGCTCCTGGTGCTCAGTCCGGCTCCACGCTAACGGCACAGGAAGGCCGCGCGGCTGGGAAGGCGGCGGCAGGCCCAGGCACCCCGGGGTGCTGCTGTCTGCACGGAGCACAAGGAGAGCGAGCCGGCGTCCCGCCCCACCCGCCCCATGGGAAGGCTGACCCGGCCCACCCGCGCACACGCCGGGGCCGGCGGCCGTGTGGGGAGGTGCTGTCGCGTGTGCTCACGCGGGAACAGCGACCACGGTCTGAGGACACGGCCTGGCTGCCACGGTGAGCGGGACAGCCCGTCCTGGGCGCCACATGCGGGAAGAACCGACTCTCTGGGCGAGGGGGATTTTCACCTCCCATCTCCCTCCCAGCGCTCCCCCCACCGCCCAGCGTTCCCACGACCAGCAGGCACCGTTCCCAGGGCTCCCTCCCACACACCTACACTCTCCAAAGACGCCAGCGCCCCCGCTGCCGGCTGCTGCCGCACAGGGTAACCACCGCCGACCCCCAGCCAAACGTCCTCACCTCCCTGCCCCACGGTGCCCCTCGGGCACCAGGCTGCACCCCACTCTTTCTGAACACGCTTCATTCGTCAGTCCCCACGAGGGCCGGAAACAGGGCGAGGCTAGAGCCCCCAGTGGAAACAGGCCCAGGCACGGCAGCTCTGGGGAGACCGTCCACGCTCAGCAGTGCGCCGCCCCACGCGGAAGCCACCACCCGGCAGCGAGAGCTGCGTGGGAGCCACTCCACCGCGTACACGAGTAAGACGCGGGGTTCCACTGTGAGCCCCCCAGGCGCCTGTCACCCACCCCCCCCCCCGAAGACCTGTTAGAAAGAACGAGGAAGCTCCTTAGTGTGCGGCGCGAACAGGCACACCCGTGGGCAACTGCCGGAAGAGAACCCGCACTTCCCCCGCGCCAGGCGGCCGATCGGCTGCAAAGCCGCGCTGCCGCGCCCGCCGTGCGTGGCGGCACCAGACTCGGGGCGCACCTCCGAGCGCCACACGTGAAGCCCGCTCCTGGGCCGAGCGGGAGAGACCGCGCCACGGAGACGCCCCCTTTCCCCTCGAGTGCCCGCTCACTGCCCGCAGCCGAAAGTCCTGTCCCAGCTTTCGTAGAGCTCCAGGTCCTTGGGAGACACGCTGGGCCGCACGGTCCGAAAGGCGTTCTCAAAGTCCACGTACGCTATAGGGGGGACCTGGTCCGCCGTGATGGTGGCGATGTCGGCGGCCCGGAGGCTGCGGATGGGGCCGAGGGAGGCCTCCCTGCACAGCTGCGTCACGTCGGCACCCGAGAACCCCTCGGAGCGCTGCACCACCAGCGCCAGCTCCTCCTCGCGGAGGCGGCACTGCTCCCGGGACATCAGGCTGAGCACGATCTGCCGCCGGGCGGCCGCGTCCGGGAGGGGGATGTAGAGCCTCTTCACCAGCCGCCGCCGGGCGGCCTCGTCGATCTCCTGAGGCCGGTTGGTGGCCCCCACGACGAGGATCCGGTCTTCGGGAGACGTGGTTGCCCCGTCCAGCTGGACCAGGAACTCGGTCTTCATCCGCCTGGAGGACTCGTGCTCGCCGTCCCCGCGCTGGGACAGCAGGGAGTCGATCTCGTCGATGAATATCACGGCGGGCTGCTGGCACCGGGCCACCGCGAACAGGGCCCGGACCATCTTCTCCCCCTCGCCCACCCACTTGGAGGTCAGGGAGGAGGCGGAGATGCTGAAGAAGGTCGCCCCGGACTGGCTGGCGATGCACTTGCCGATCAGGGTCTTCCCGGTGCCGGGGGGCCCGAAGAGCAGGATCCCCTTGGGCGGCCCGCGCAGCCCCGTGAAGATGTCGGGCCGCATCATGGGCCACACCACGATCTCCTTGATGGTGGCCTTGGCGAACTCGACGCCTGCCACGTCCTCCCAGTGCACCGGGGGCCCGTGGTCCATGATCTCACTCGTGATCAGCTCAACCATCTTCGGCTCCAGGCCCTTCAGGCGCTCGTCGGCCGGGGCTGCGGGCCCTGCGGGCCCGGCTCCCTCGGGCCTGCACTGCACGCCCCCGCCCGGGTCACCCCCATCTGGCTTGGGGACGGGAGGGACAAACTTCCCGAAAATCCCTCGGGACCGGCTGGCGCCCAAGGACTTCTTCATGCCGCCGTAGGAAGACCCTGACGACCCCGACGCACGGGCGTGCCTTCTCTGCTGCTCCGCCCACAACTGCTCCTTCGCGGTTTTGAAGGTCGGCAGGCCGCTCTCCTCTGCCTGGCCGCCGCAGCCGTCTTCTGTCTTGCTGAGAGCCTTGCTCGGGGGCGGGGCCGAAAGAGCGTCGGCAGGGCTGCAGCCGTAGAGAGCGAGCCTTTCGCGGGGACCGTCACTGCCAGCAGGACCGCTGGGCCGGCCGGGTAAGAACACACTCAGTCCCACGCTGGCTTTCGGAGAGCTGCCGTTTTCCTTCCTCACACCGCCAGATAACGGGGGGGCGTGCCACGTCGCAGGGCCTAAGTCCCCAAGAGGTGCTGAGAGTGGGGGACACGCCTTCGGGGTGTCAGTCACCCCGGGTGGATGGGCATTCCCAGGGCCCGACACGCCGCCCGCTGGGATCTCTCGGGTCCTGTCTGCACCTCGGGCGGGGCCCGGGAATGGGCCGCCCTCGCCGGAACCACCTCGAACGCCGGATTTCGAAGGACCGAGGACCGGGGCCCCCGTATGGACTACCGCCGAGGCGCCAGCAGCCGCCAGCAGGGAGTCTCGGGACTCGGCGCCGGCCCGCATCATCTCCTGCACGCTGCTCCTCTGGAAAACACTGGTGGCTGACAGTCCGGACTGCCACTGGTCGCTGTCAGCCTGCCGAGGCCTTGCCAGAGTCAAAATGCTCTCCGCGTAGTTGTTCAAGCCGCTCTCAGCGTGGTCGGAGTCCACGACCGCAGAGTACCTCTCCGCGTACCTTCTGAACAGTCTGGACGCGCAGGCCCGGGAGATCTCGGAGTTGGCCCGCGCGTACTGGATGCGCAGGATCTGCGCCCGGTAGGCGTCCGCCCTCTGACCCGCCGTGCACGCGCCCGACGTGGCGGTGAAGTGGCTCTCCTGCCACTCGCGCAGGTGCGCGGCCCGAGCGCCGGGGGCCTGCATCCTGGGGCTCTGCAAGGAGACGGAGAGGAAGCGTGCTGAGGGGAGGGATGCGGGCTCAACCCCCCGCCCATCTCAAAGAAGGCACACCAGGCCTTTCCTTCACTCATAAGGTGAATTCACGAAGGCAGACCGCCGCAAGGGAAATGCTGGCTATCCCTACATTTCAAGCGTTCAAGACACAGAAGATTAAAGACCTGACTCAATAATGCCTCACGATGGGCTGGACCACTTTAGTTATCTACTAATTTTCCCTGCAAAGAGGGAAAGCATTCATAAGGGAAGGGTTTAAAGTTAATCAGCAAGAGAGAGGCGATACGGAAGGCGCCGGAGCTACAAACGAACCGCGCCAAACGAACCTAGCCCGGGGTTCACTCACGTCTGGTCTCCACGAGAAACTCGATGGACGCTCTCCAGCAAGCCTCGTACCTTCGCGGCCCAGTCTCCAGTTTCACCTGTAAAGTGGGGGAAATCGTCGTGAGAGTCGAGTCAAACAACAAATACAAAAACGCTCTGAAACCACCACCGGCCCTACTGCGCAGACGCAGAAACTGAGGCTGAGCCTGTGAGGGAGCTTCCCCGGGCCAGACCTCGTACCCGCGCAGTCTGGCCCAGCAGCAGGCACGTCCAGGTGCCGCTGCCGCCACCAGAGGCCAGAGCAGCGGGCGTCACAATGACGGACACCGTCGTCACTGTTTTAAGGCCTTATTTCTGCATGAGCACTGAAACCAGGGAGCCTCTCACCACGGCCCAATGTCTCACGAATGTTAAAAAGTGAAACTGTCAAAAAAGCAAACAAAATATAACCAGAGACACTGAAATTAAAAACAATCTGCCCTGGCTGGCGTAGCTCAGTGGACTGAGCACGGGCTGCGAACCAAAATGTCGCAGGTTCGATTCCCACCCAGAGTACATGCCTGGGTTGCAGGCCACGGCCCCCAGCAACCGCACATGGATGTTTCTCTCTCTCTCTCTCTCTCTCCCTCCCTCCCCTCTCTAAAAATAAATAAATAACATCTTTAAAAAAAAATTAAAAACAATCTAACAACAGCCAGAGGGGAGGGTGGAGGGGACAATGGGGAGAAGGGTTTTCACTATAAAGGGCACATGGAGACAAAGCTAAATAAATAAAAATAAAAAGTGAAACTGTCACAAAACATGAATTATAAGAACCCCACAATCTGCTAGTAAAGTGCTTATAGTTTAGCTTTCTTCTCTCAAGTTACTTTCATGAGCCTCCTCACATTGAGTTAAAGTTATTTGAACACAATCGCAGATGAACATACCACGTTGCTGGAGGTGTGGAATTAACCTGCTGACCCACAAGGAAGACTTGTAAGAAAACTTTAAGCTCCTTAACAGTATTGCCATACATAGGGAAAGCCAAGAACTCATGCATCTTAAAGCGTACCTTCCGAATTACCTGTAAATATAGCTTAATAATCATAGCTTATGGTTTTTTAATCTGCCGTAATGCCCTGCAAAGACTCTGCCACATGGTGGGCAGGCGTTCATAAATCTTTGTGAAGAAAATAAACGTAAGACCCAGGGAGATTCTCCTTTGCTTACAGTTAGAAAGGTGAAAAAGAATCAGAACTGGAACGGGCGTCTCCCGGCCACACCATCTCTCCCTGCTGCACCATCTCCACTCCCTTCGTGCAGCCGCGGCAACGGGAAGCTGCAGGAACGCCCTCTTCCTCCCTCCCGCCGCCGGGCTCCCCCCGGCCCTGCTCGCCTGCAGCCCTGGGGTTCCTCCCCGCGGCTGAGCTCTCCTGGCTGTTCCCGGCACTCCCTCCCTCCCCCGTTCTCCAGAATTCGCCTCCCCAGTCTCCCTGCTTCCCCTGAGCGCAGCCACTGGCCCCACAGCTGTGGCCACGGATGGCAAGCACCTGTTGCAGCACACACCTGGTCGACGACACGGCCCCTGTGCTACTCCCCGGTGCTATTCCCGAGCCCCTTCCCTTTTCATGGCCTTTCTAGATCTTCCCGAGAACTGACCTGGGAACCGCATGCCCCCCTCTTTTATTTGGGTAACTCCCTGCTCGTGGCAGAAATGTGCTGTTCGTCTACCTGGACAGATGACTTGTGCAGGGAGGGGCGGGCTCCGTTACTCTCCGTCTCCCGGCCGGCCGCGGGGCCGGAGAGCGCGGCCAGAGCCCCACCCGCCCGGACCCCGCCGGCCGGGACTCCGCCGCCGGCCCCCTGACCTCTGTCCCGGGGTCGCAGCTGCGTCGGCCGGCCGGCCCGCGGAGCCGCTAAGCCCGCGCAGCGCTCGCGCTCGGAAAGCTCGCCCCCTCATTCAAGGGCCGCACGAAACGTGGTCGCTCCCCGCAACAGCGCCCCCCACCCCGCTCCGAGGGCCCGCCGCCTCTCTCCTCCGCCCTGACTGCGGCCTCGGGTCCCCAGCCGGGCTGGGGGTCGGTCTGCACGGGGCGCCGCCGCCGTCAGCAACGCCGGGCGCCGGGGCCCGAGACGCCCACACGGGGCGTCCCCTCCCCGAAAAAAGGCAAGTCCTCCGAACGCGCAGGTGTGGAGGGCACGCCCGCGGCGAGAAACGTTTCAGGGCCCCGGCCTTCTCCCCCGCCGTCCGGGCAGCCCCTAGCCCCGCCGGCCGCCCCGGGAAGGGCTGCGAGGGCCGAGCTGGCCCCTCCCCGCCTCTGGCTCCCGCCCCGCGCCCGGCTCCCCGGAGCCGCTCGGGTCCCCACCTACCTGCGGCTTCCGAAAAGCGCGCGGACCGACGTGCGCCTGCGCGGTGCGGCCGAGCTCAGCCAGTGCCGTGCGTGCGTCGTGCGTGCCGGGCGCGCTCCTCGGGGGCGGGGCCGCGCGTCGGGGGCGGGGCCTCGCGGCGGAGGGGCGGGGCGCTGGCCCGGGGTCTGGTCCCTCGGGTTGCAGGAGGCTATTCTGCTAAACGGGGCGCTGTACCTGTGCAGCCGGCGGGTTTACATAAGGGGACGAACGCTGCGCCTCCTTGCGAGTGTGCTGCATTCGTAAACTCCGAAATAAAGACCCGCAGGCCCCGAGGTGACTACCTTCAGCGAGTTCCCATAGCAGGCGCTCATCCGGACTCGCCTGGCCCGCGGTCTTTGCAGACGGTCCCCGCGATCCCGGGGGCGGGCCCCTTCCCTCCACACAGCACGTCAGTGCGTAGGTACTGTTCCTCACCGGGGGACATGGGGTGCAGGGGCGTGTGAAGTCCACGTGCGTTTTTAAGAAGAGGGGATTCGGAAAGCCCGCTCTGAGCCCTGCGGCTCAGCCCCGCCCCTCAGCCGGCACGTCCACCCCGCTACCCCGCCCCCACGCCGGGCTCCTTAGGGACCCTTCCCCGGAAGGCTGAAAAATGCTTCATCACTGCCTTGGACGGGGGCTGCAGAGAACCACGTTCACATTAGTTTACGGAATTGCGTTTTCAGACCAAGTGACAGAATAGTCACTAACAGCCACCTGCTTGGTAATTAATGTCAGTATATGACATAAGAAGTCTGGAAGGTGGCCGTTCCGCGTCTGATGACACAACCCAAGGGTGCCATAAAGGGCCGTCTCTTGGAAACAGGGAGACTCCACTCCCAGGAAGCCCGAGGGGCCTTTCTCTCCCTCTCTGGGCTCAGCGGGTCCCTTGGTGGTCCCTTCTGGAAACAGAAGCTATCTGGAGGTGAGGGGTGGAGAAAAATGACGGCTGAGCAGCAGCTAACACACGTGACATCTGAGTGACTGAAAATAACCCACCCCGCGGTGGCATTTCTGCTTTTTATGCCCCTTAATCTTCCTAGGTATGCGTGGAAGCTGGAGTCATCTCCAGGTGAAAATGGATGTTGCCAAAGCATCTGAAACGGTGCCTGACATGTCCTGCACCCTCGATAAACATTACCAAACACATGGATGCCGGCTCCAAGTACCTGAGGATGCCCCGTCTTTGGCCACATGACAGCAATCAGTTGGGTACAACGTAGCACAGGACGCTCACTAGACACAACGGCCACTGCACTGCAGATGGTTTATTAAGCACTGAGCCACGTGACAGAGCGAGGGAAAGGCCACAGGGACAGTCTCCTGTCCCATGTCCACAGACTGCCCTGGGAAACATTTCAATAAGCTTTCCCACCACGGGTGACGTCAGGACCACAAACCACCGATTTTTCTAATCAGCAGACAGCACAGCCAAGTGACGAACAAAGCCTATATCCACTGGAATCCAGGCCTCCTGCAGCAGATGAGGTTTCTTCACTGGCGAGAGACTGAAGATACACAATCACAAGCTTCTGGGTAACTCTGGAGAGCGGCGTGAAGCTGCACACTTCCGCGGAGCTGGGACAGTGCTTGTCTTCTTCTCCATGCAGATTTCAGACGTACGTCTTTTCAACTTTAGATCTCTGCGGGGGGGAGAGGGGGGAATAACATGAAATCATGGCTTCATTCACAAAAACTCCAGAATCAGGTCTTTGTGTACTTCCCGCGCCGTGTGGGCTTTGCTGTGACAGCCCCAGCCGCGCACGAGGAAATCCGCGGTGCTGAGATTTCCATCTCTCCAGTGCATCTGGCCAAAACAACATGGGCGCATCGCGATTCACTGTTACGGGCAACGCCGAGGAACAGATCCTATTTTTACCCTTTGATTTGAGAGCAAGTACAAACGAGCCCACAGTAACTGTGACTTCTCCCAGAAACGTGGCTCTGTTTCCGATCATTTTTCAGAGCGACAGGCTCTCCCTGTGTTGCTGTGGGCACGTGGGAACACGACCTCGACGTGGCCCAGACACATGGGCTCTGTGCAAACACAGGGCTGCAAGAATGGGCATCACGGATGTTCGTCTGACTCAGCTCTGTTTTGCATTTATCTTCTAGCAGCTACCCACCCACACCCCGCACACCTGCACACACGCATCTTATCTTAGAGCAACGGAGAATGGAAATCGGAGCCTCTGCCCAGCACCTTCTAGAGATGCTCCAGCTATGACTCACTTTGAAGTCGCTTTGGGCAGGGCAGTCCCCCTCAGCCAATGAGCAGTGCACCTGGGCAAGGTGGTTTCCCCTCAGCCAATGAGCAGCACCCCCCCCCAGCCAATGAGCAGTGCACCAAAGCAAGGTGGTTCCCCCTCAGCCAATGAGCAGCACACCTGGGCGGGTCCACCAGCCAATGAGCAGTGCACCTTAAAGAAAAATCCTTTTTATGCTGGGAAAAGGATCAGACAGCTCAGAACCAGCCCTGACCACGCCCAGGGGCGGGGGGGGGGGGCGTCTTTGACCTCATGGGTCAGGAGGCATGCATAGGTTTCACCTAAATGAAACTGAACTTTTAACTTCTTGTTTTTGAGCACTATAGTATTTCAGGTATTCCCAGTGAAAATTAAGGGCAAAGAAGGTGAATTCCAACGCCGCCAGTGGAGCCGTGCGTCACACCCTTCGGGGCTGCAAGCCCCACAGGTCGGAGAAATGGGCAATGAGGGGACGAGAAGGGTCCCAAAGAGCAGCAGGAACTAAGGAGACGGTCACAGAGGCACGTCCACCACCCACCTGCCCCAAAGCGGGGTGACCAGGTTAAAAAGACAGAGAGAAAGTAGGCAGACTCCAGTGGACCGGCCTTCTTAAGATAATCTGAAGAAAAGGCTTGCACACTTGCTGGGGCTCCCACAGACAGGCTTTGCACACCCTCCCCGTGGCCGGCACTGCACCTGTGTGCACGTTCTCCTTACACGTTAGCCACGTGCCGTCCTCGGGGACGTCTCAATGGCTCAGCGTAAACGCTGCACACGGCGAGGAACCCGGGAGCCCGAGCGTTTCCTTCCTCGGAACCATCCACCCCTCGGTTCCCCCGGCAGCAAATGGTTGGTCATGTCAAACTCCCTTTGCAATGCTTTCACTGATTCTCGTTTATCCACAGTGTGCCTGCCTGATGTGTAAGCTTGTCGTGACACTGAGCTGCCTCCACCAACAGGGAGAAATCAGGGTGAACATTCTAGAAACGCACCACTGAGAGTTTCACGTAAGAATTCAAAGCAAACGTCTGAGTCTCTCCAGCACTGAGGTTGCGCCTAGCTGCTCCCACCCCTCCCTCCCCTGCTCGCAGCGGAGGACGCCAGCCCGCTGCGCGGGAGGCGGGCAGCTCACCTGCAGCGCCCCCCGGCGGCGCTGACCCGCACTCCCGCCGCGCTCCCAGCAGCGAGGTCGCCAGCGCCTGGATGTGCACCCAGGCCGACTGCACATGCGCAGACTCCACCGTGCGGGAGCAGATGGCGAAGCGCAGCACGAACTTGTCCCTCAGGTGGCAGGGCACCAAGTGGATCTTCCTGGCGGCGTTTATCCTCTCCAGGAGAGCTTCGTTCAGCTGGTTGGAACCCTGCAGGGGTCGCGAGAGGGGGGCCACGTCTCAGGAAGGAAAAGTTCAACCAAATAATGGTTCCGTGGCCCTGGAAGGCTGCAGCTGGCCCCTGGGTGACAATGGGGGTCCCATTAAACGTGAAGGCCCAGAGGTGACCTTCCGCGGTCCAGGGCTTGTAGAAAGAGTGCAGGCGCCCAGCTGTGTTCCCCATGCACTGCTGAGCTCACGCAGCAGACTGGACTCGCAGGTCCCCCGGGAAAGGGTCCGTCCAGGAGGAGAGAAGAAACTCTCAACGACCAGAGAAAGGAGCGTGGTGGTCAGCTTCTTGTGAGAATCGGGGGAAGCTGCCCAGGAACTGGGCGTCCCGGGCGGAGCAGCCGCCAGCCGGGGCAGGGAGGCCAGAGCCCGGCTTCCCACTGACGGCGCCAGAGAGCGCCAGAGGGCGGCAGGCTCGGACCACTCGGGCCTTGGGGAGCCACCACGTTCCCACCCAGAGCCCAGAGGCTGCTCCCCCAGCCGGCAGTCTCGTGGCGTCTCCTGCCCTTCCCCCCGCCCCCACCGGCCATCCTGTCTCCTGTTTCCCAGCAGCACCTCCAGCCCCTTCACGCCGGAGCGGCTGCTAGAAGGGGCTGGGAGTGGGCCCTGCATCCCTGGTCACGCAGTCCTCGCAGGATCGGACTGTCTGTGTCCTCACTCTGCGTGGAGGGTGGGGTTGCAGAAGGGCCCGTGGGAGGAGAAGAGCCAGTTCTGCCAGGTGGGGCACGCCGGCAGGACCCTGGCCACCAGTGGGGCTCCCACCGGGGCCCAAACGGACAGTGGGGTGGGCGGGGAGGCAAGGCCACTCGGAAACGCCAGCACCCCGGGGCTGGACAGGCTCGTCCCGCTGGAGTGTGAGGACGGAGAGAGGCGGCCGTGCGGAGGGCACGGCACTGTACCAGGAAGACTCGGCCGGGGGAGCAGACACCCGAAGATGGTATCGGGCTAAGGCTCTTTAAGGAAGTCACTTAGGACGGATTTCTTTCGCATTTTCAACTGGAGGGACGAGATAGGTTTTGGATGAAGTAACGGTTTTAAATCAGAAAGGGCCGCGGGGAGACACAGCCCGAGATGGACCAGCAGCCACGGGAGCAGAGGGAGCGAGACGGGGCCGGGGCGGAGAGCGCAGGCGGGAGGGGGCGCTGTCTGAGGCCGAGGTTCCACTCCGAGGCCCCGCGTCCACTCTGAGCGCCATGAAGACCACACAGGCGCTGGGGCCGTTGTGGGGGGTGGGCCCACGATGGGCCTTGGTCACCACCCCCCCGCTGACGCTGACACCGGTGCCGGCCCAGGGCTGACACCAAGGGAGCGTGGGGACAGGCGGAGTCCTCGGCGAGTGCCGGTGGCTGAGAGGGCTGGCCGGTGTGTGTGCCCGGGAGAGCGGGCAGCCCCCGAGGAGACCGCGGAGGGCGCCGTGGGCAGGTGGGTGGCGTCGGGGCTGGGTTGGGTGGTCCAGGGATGCGAGGGTTGGCGCCCGGAAGGGAGGACTGACACCTTGCCCGCGTCACACTGAAAGGAAGTGGAGACGAAAAGGGACCCGAGCATACCTTCAGGCAGAAGCAGACCAGCCCCAGAGTGACCTCCGTGCAGATCTCGAAGCGAGGGTCCTGGGTCACCAAGGACTCAAACTCGTGAGCCAGCTGCACGTGCTGGAAAGGGAGGGGCCGCCTGAGCATCCAGGGGCTCTCGGTCCAGAGCCCGGCCCCCCCGAGTGGGACTACATGCGTCTGCGACTCAGTGCTGGGCCTGTGGCCGTTTTCTCCCGCCCCCACCGGCTGCCCCCACGCAGGCTGAGGAAAAGCTCCGTCCCCACGGAAAAGGGTGGTGCCTTCAGGAACACGCCACCCAGTCAGTCGCCTGTGGTTTTAGAGGGAGCGTGGCGGAGAGGTGTCCTCACACAGCTGCACCCGGGTGCAGGTGGGGAAAGCGAGGCTGGGCCTACGCAGCTGCCCGACGGCACAGCCCTGGATCTACGGAGGCTGCGGTGGCTGCGTGTCGTGTGACAGCGCCCACTGCCACCGAGACTCACTCACACCTGTCGTGCACCCTCTCTGCCTTCCCCTCCTCGAACATGGTCGGTCACCTGATTGCCCGATTGGACATCCAGGGGGTTCTGGAGCTCTTGATGGCACGGGATCTGGGGACTCGGTCTGGGGGTGTGCCCCGCTTATTCTAAACCCAGGCACCCAGGCACCCCGCATGGTGCCCGCCCGCGGGATTGGGGAGCAGCCAAGCCCACGCCCTCCCCCCAGCGCGGCTGGGGCCGAAACACCGGGGAAAGGAGCGGCCCAGTCACGTGAGCAGCTCTCGCACCACCAGAGGGCGCCAAAGCCCGGGGCCTGCGGCTGGCCTCTCCCCACTGGGGGGCTCCCGAGCACCGGCCTGCCTTCCCGGGGACAGCCTGGCCATCCCCTCTCCCGGCCGGCGGTCGGTCGGTGGGGCCCGCTCGGAGGGAGGCTCTGAGCGTGTTTCACACGAGGCAGCGTGATCGCACCGAGCTGCCGCCCCTGGACTTCAAGACGGCATCATGACGGAGGCATCACCCCTACTTTCCGCGCGCCATCCCCAGAGGAGCAGGATGCTGGTCGTGGGCAGGAACACGCTCTCAAATGGGGGGGGTGCCTCTCACCTGTGGACGCCCACACTCCTCGCCAGGCCGATGGGGCCAGTGCGTGACGTGGGCCGGGCACGGAGCGGGGGACGCCTGGCCACAGGCCCCGTCCCACGGCACGGGGCCCGGGACCCCTGCCCGGCCACAGGGGCACAGCCTCGGCCCCGGGGCTGCCGACAGGCGGTCAGGTCACCGCGCTAGCGTGGCGACCTGCAGGTGAGCCCCATTTCCGGGGAGACAGAGGAGGCCCTGTGCCCCCGCGGGCGGGGACACGGCCGCGGGTGGGGATGCCAGGATGGGAGGGCTGGCTATTTGGGGGGTGGGCTGGCCGTGGGCCCGTCCTGGCACACACTTAGGCCTCAGTTTCCTCAACTGTTAAAAAGACAAAGCAGGTCACGGCCTTGCCGCAGACGGGTGTTTGTCACACCGGAGGGCACGTCACAGCCGAGACCCCCCACCCCCAAGATCCGGGCCCCTCGTGGGGGGAGCCTGTCTGGGCACCACCGGGCCAGGGCACACCATCCCCACCCCGCCTCTAACTTCTCCTTTCTGGAATGTTCTTGAAGCAGAACACTGTGCTCTCCCCATTGCCCTCTTTGACGGGACCGCGCCGCTGGCCACACGGGGCTCAGTTCACTCTGAGTCTCCGGGGCTGGTTGGGGCTGGTCGCCTGCGGCCCCGATGGACGTGCTGACCATCTCGTGCACCCCCCAGGGCGCCTGCGTGCTGGCCCCAGCGTCTCCGTCCGCTCCGGAAGCCCCCAGGCCCCCAGAGAGCCCGGCGGGCAGCGAGGAGCGGGCGGTCACCTTGCGGATGTAGGCCTGCAGCCCCGCGACGCCGTACATCCGGAAGACGAACCACATCTTCAGGGAGCGGAACCGGCGGCCCAGCGGCAGCTGCCAGTGCTGCAGGAACACAGTGGGTCTCAGGGGCCCGGAGGGGACAGGCCACCGCCCCCCCCGAGCGGGGCCACCCCGGCCCCCCACTGCCCCGTGTGCGGGGACGGCCCAGCCCTCACAGGCAGGAGGGAGCCGGTCTCACAGCGCGGGGCAGGTGCGGCCAGACCGGACTGGTCGCTGCGTGCTCATGGACGCGAGGGGCTGGGCTCGGAGCGCATTGGCCAGAGTCCACCCTCGAGGCAGAAACCGTCAAGGGGCCCGGGGCCGCTGCGCGCCCATGAGGGAGGGAAGCTGAGGCTGCGCTCTCAGCGAGAGCGCCCAGAACCGCCAGATACGGGGTCGGGGCGGAGGGCGTGGGCCGCACCGAGGGCAGGGGACACCCGGGCCTGTGACTGGCGGGGGGCAGGGGGGGGAGGAAGAAGACCCAGAGCATGGGCGACACCAGTGCCCCAGACCCTTTGCACGTCAGGGGCCCGGAGACAGGCCCCCGCAGCCGGGCCCCTGCCGGGAGTTCCGGGTCGGCACGGCCCTGAGCTTCTCGGCGAGGCAAAGCCGCACGTACCCTGTAGTCGGTGATCAGCCCTGGAACAGGGGAGGAAGGGGAGAGAAGCCGTCAGACTCGCGCGTCGGTGACGCGCCGGATCCTTCCCACGCCCACGGTCAGGCCTCCTGACCCAGACCTCAGGCCGGCGGGCAGGGGCCGCGGGGTCTCTGCCGCGCTTCCCCGGGTGCCCAGAGAGCACGCAGACACGCTGGACCGCGTGGGCTCCCGTCCAGGTCGCTTTCTGGGGCGACAGGAGTGCGAAGCCGCGAGAGTCCCCTGGCACCCAGGGTGACGCCGGCACCGGGCTCACGTTGGGCCCACTCACCCACCCACTCACCCACCCACTCACTCACGCGTGGGAAGGGGGTGCGAGATAAGAGTGATTGGAAGGGAGAAAAGGGGCCACCCTCAGGGGTGGTCAGCTCCGTATCCCGGGATCTCGGTCCAGGGCGGGGCGGGGCTGTTACACACGCGTCCCCCGTGGTTGGCAGAAGGCACGGAGACAACGTGAACCTCCCCGAAGCGCCTGCCGGCGCGGGGGCGGCACTCAGTGAGGATCGGTTGGACCCCGGATGACCTGGGGACCCTCCATTTGCTCTGTGTCACTGTGCTGACTGCACAGAGCCCCCAGCCACGTGTGGCTGTTTACATGTAGTGAAAAGTAAATGCAGGCGCACATCGAGTTCTTCACTCAGACCAGCCGCCTCGCTGGTGTTCAGTGGGTGTTCAGTGGCCGCCCGTGGCTCGGTGGCGCCCTGAGGACAGACCTGTCAGCCCGGAGCGCCCCCTACAGGTGCCCACCATCCCGTAAAAAAAGCCAAGGCCCTCTGGGCCAGCAACTCCTGCAGCGAAGGTTCGACTCGCCCTGTGGACCATTCAACCCGTTCTGTGTGTGTAGTAAGTCTTTCCCACCACGCAGGGCGCACGTGGGCCGGGCAGCTCCTGCGTGGGCCGGGCAGTGGTTCGGTGGAACCCCACGTGGCAGCGGGACTCCCGGCCACGCAGAACAGCGTGGTCACGGGAACTCTCCGGCTCTCCCTTTGCGCACTCCTGCTTTCCCAGTGCGCACAGCTCCTGCACCCCGGAAGAACCTATCTGAAAGGCCTACGCACCACGTGAGGCCCCTCGTCCCTGCCGCCGGCGCTGGGGAAGGGTTTTCCGCGGTCGAAACAAACTCCCCGCTGACTTTGGCCCCGGTGCCCCGTCTCCCACTGGCTGCCGCGCCCCCGAGGAGACCGCGTGTGAACTCGAGGGACCGACACGGGTGTCGTGAGCGGAATCCCTCCCCGGGGCCGGGCCGGCCGGCACCGCCCCAGCCCGGGGCAGCGGGGCCGCGGCCCCTACCCCAGAACCAACTCGTGAGCGAGGATGGTGAACAGGTGACCAGTGCAGTGAGCGAGGCTGTGGGCGGAGTCATGGCCCCGAAGGAGCCACTGGGGGGCACAGACAGGAAGAGGTCCCTGTCAGGGGGACTCTGGTCCTGGGTCCCCAGGACGGGAGGGTGGCACCCTGAGAGCCCATCGGTGGGACAGACGGTGGGCCGAGGCCTGGGGAGCCAAGAGGGGCGAGGCCCGAGTGGGGTGAGTGCCCCTTGCTTCCCCAGCAGACGCTGCGGGTGGGCTCCGGGCCTGGGTCACGGCCCCCCCACAGGGCCGGGCGGAGAGCAGGTGTGCACAAACGGGCAAGGTGGCATCGGGGTGCCCGTCCTGCCCGGGCCTGCGACTCTCTCTCCAGACTCCTCCCACCACTCTCCTCCTTTCCTCTCCGCCCTGCAGGGCCCGGCACCCGCGGACACCCACGTCCCAGAGACTCAGGCCATGTGTTCTGAAGATTGGAGCAGGAGGGGCCACAGCCGTCCCAGGAGCTGCCCCGTGTCCCCCACGCCCGGCCCTGCAGGCCCCGGCTCCTGCCCTGAGCAGCTCTGGCCCACGGAGCCCGGGCCTCGTCACCACCGGCCCCGGGGCAGGTGCGTCCTCTCGGCTCCACACCCAGTGCCCCCGGGAACCCTCCGTGCTGGGGGACCTCCCTCTCGGGCCCCAGGGCACTCGGGATGCAGCCGTGGCGGAAGCAGCCCGCCCTCGCGAGGCCGTCGCCCACCTGAGTCCTGGTGGCTGTGCTTCAGGTACACGGGGTCCATCTTGAAGGTGCCGATCAGGTCCGATCTCCGCTTCACCCTGGTGTCAGAGGACAGACGGTGGGCTTAGGGGAGGCTGCAGCCCCCCGGCCCCTCCTCCACCCGGCCCAGCAGGGGCCCACCTGCCCCGGGCCCCCGCCCTCGGCCCAGGCCCCACACCTGCGCCCCCACCACCCGGGGCTTCACAGTGCCACGGCGCGCACCTGCGGAGCCCCACACACCGCGGGCAGGTGGTGCAGTCAAAAACAGATATCTGGTCTCTGCGCCTGGTTCCCGTTGCACACACCCCAATGCCCGGGAGTCTGGGTGGCGATAGGAGCGCCCTTTATGTGCCAAGGACACGGCAGGCGGCCGGGCCCTGGCTGCAGGACCCGGCTGGTTGCCCGCAAGACCGGGCGGTGGGCAGGGGGAGAACTTCGGGCCCCTCTGCCCCCCTCTCAGGAGAGGGAGGGGCTGCAGGCCGAGCTCCTCGCCAGTGCCCGGGGAGCCCCCGCCCCATCATCGTGCCCGTGCAGTGACAGTTCCGACAAACGCCACGTGACGCGGTGGGGTCGCTGACCCCGGACACGCCTGGAGGGGAGGCTGTGCCCTGCCCCACCCCCCTCCTCCCGGGCGCCCCTTCCACGTGGCCACTCATGTCTGTCCTTTCTAACGCACCGCACACGTGAGCGCAGCGCGTCCCTGCGTGGGGAGACAGGGGGCGCGGAGAGCGGAGGGGCGGGAAGAGCCGTCCCTCCCGGGGAGCTCCGCCCTTGGTCGTGAGAGGCGCACGGCCCTCCCTCGGATGCCGGCAGGACATCCGTGCTGGTTTTCCTTTTTTCAAATTTAAAAATGCTGTGCAGTGTTGACACTGTGGGAGCAGGGGGGTCAATAATAATGCTGCTTCCGGAGAAAACCCGGACACACGGCCCAACCCGCGCGACGTGCCCCTGCCCCCGCCCCCCCTCCCGGGGGACGCCGCCTGGCGCTGGCCACGCCCGCGGCCCGGGACTGCCCTCCCACCAATCCCCAACGCGTCTGCAGTGTCGCTGCGCACGCTTCTAAAACCTGACACAGATACAAGGGATTTAAGGCTACGCAGCCTCATTTTTGCGTCCTTGTCTGCAATTTGCCTTTTCTCTCAAAAACGCACGGGTGCCTGTCTTACACGCTCATCCACCGGGCCCCGTCTGCGCTCGCTCCCGGCCACAGATGGCTGCCCACTCGTGGTCAGACACGCTCTGGTCGCGCACAGAGCGCCCAGGGCACCGTCTGGCACGGAGGGCTCGCCCCCGAGGTCGTCCCCAAGGTCCTGCCGCCCGCCAGCTCTGCCGACACTCGGTCTGGGCTGGCTTCCTCCGCCGTCTGCCGGCCGCCGTCCGCGTGTTTCTCGCTGCAAAAGGCTGGGCGTTCCCGTTATGTGCGACTGGAAGTGCGGGGGGCACCGTGTCCTGGGGGACTCCACGCGTTCCCAGGTTGGCCTCTCGCGGGCGTCGGTTTGGGAAAGGCGTCTCTGCCGTCGCCGAGTCTGTTGGTCCCGGGCAGTTTCGGCACACGCCGCACAGTCCCTGAGACGAGGTTCTGAAACCTCTGTCGCACCTGCGGCTCGGTCCCCACAACTTTCCAGGACAGGCTCCTGCGCCTTCCCCTCTGCTCCAACCTGGGACCTCCGCTCCGGCCGCCTTCCCGGGGGGGACGCCACCTTTGAGGCGGGCGAGGGCCCACCGGCAGCTCCATGACCCCCTCCACGGCGCCCCGACTTGCTGTTCCACCAGTGTCCCCTCCCCCGTGTGGTTTCCCTCCTGCTGGTCTCAGGGGCCGTTCTGTGGTCGTTTCCTGACTCCGTGTCCCCGTGGGCATCCGTCTCCAGGCCCCGCCCAGGCGCAAGGCGCGAGGCACAAGCTCAGTCCCAGCTGCGCACCCTCCTGCTCCTCAAGGCCCGGCTCCCGCTGAACTGCACCCCCGATCCGCAAGCCCAGTGGGTCGGGGCGGCGGCTGCCCATCAGCTGCAAGCGTTTGGGCGCCAGCTTTGCTGCTCCTGGTAGAGGGGACCCGTGCCAGGAAGAGGTGGCTTTGGTCAAACAGACAGACCTGTGGGGGGGCGGTGCCCGCACAGAGACGTCCCTCCTCCGCGTCAGTCTCACTGGGGAAGGTCTCCCGCCACCTGACACATTCCTGCCAGCTGGTCCCGAGGGACGGCGGGAGGGGACTCCTGGGTGGTGCTGAACACGGGGGCTGCTGAGGTCGTCTTTAAAAGCCTGCACTTATGCCCTGGCTGGTGCGGCTCAGTGGATTGAGCACCAGACTATGAACCAAAGGGTTGCCAGTTCGATTCCCAGTGAGGGCACAAGTCTGGGTTGCAGGCCAGGTCTCCAGTAGGGGGCGCATGAGAGGCAGCCACACATAGATGTTTCTGTCCCTTTCTTTCTCCCTCCCTTCCCCTCTGTCTAAAATTAAATAAATAAAATCTTTAAAAAAACACTTTTAAAAATAAAATTAAATTAAATTAAAAACCTATACTCTTCATAAGTCTCCCTGAACAAGGGGTCCAGTTACCATCTTGAAGGATCCAAAACACCACCAGCACCAGGACCAGAGCGCACAGAACCCGAAACACAAAACGTGGAGCCCAGATGGCCCGGGGCCAGGTTCACAACCAGGCGTTCCCATAGCTACGGTGGTTTACAGTCTCCCAAAGTAACGGAAGGGGGAAAAAAAAAACCCTCCATGGAACAGAAGTATACCAAAGCTGTAAAACTTTCCAGGATAAAATTGAATTTTTTAAAAGATTTATCTATGTATTAATTTTTAGACAGAGAGGGAAGGAGAGGGAGAGTGTGTGGTTGCCTCTCGCACGCCCCCTACTGGGGACCTGGCCCACAATCCAGGCCTGTGCCCTGGCTGGGAATCAAAACAATTTAATTTCATTTGGGGAAAAAAAAAATAATCAAGCCTCTTCCTAAAGGCCGATAAAACGTGCCCTCGGTGTGGGGGGTACTAGCGGCTGCCCTTGCACAGTGCCTGGCACTAGAGCAGCAGTAACATCCGAGAGGAACGTTCCCTAGTCACTCACAACATTCAAAAAGCCCCACGAACAGTGGGGAGCTCGGGAAGGAGTGATGGGGTCGTGGGGACCGTGATCACGCGGGTGACGGCGGAGCTCCGGCTGTCTGGGGCGCCTCGGTGTTCGGAAACCACAGCCGACGTGTTTACTTTGAATCACGGGCGCGCCGCTGGTGAGGTCTCCTTAAAGGAGAGAGAGAGACGCCTCTCGCTGGAAGGAGCGCTGGAAAAAGAGACCCGAGTGCAGCCTGCTCGCTGTGTCAGCAGAATCCGTGGGCGCTTGTGTGAGAAAAAGTCAGCGCTTCGCCGGGTTTGCTGGTTTCCGGCCCAGGCCAGGCCTGCAGAGGGCCAGGGCCCTTCTTCTGAAAGGCGCCCCGACGAGCGTCCTGACCCCCATCGGGAGAGGGGGCACCTCCTCTCCCTGCAGTGACGCCCTAGAACGGTCAGTCCGTCTTCCGAGGTGTGGACCCCCAGGACGGGCATCTACATTCCCCGGACCCGCCGTCGTCCAGCTGCCGGGCACGGCCCGTCCACGCCCTCGCAGACCTGCCGGTCGGTCCTGCCCCCGGCCCGCGCGCCCGGTGGGCCCCCTGTCCTGTGGCCAGGACAGAGCTGCCACATCCGGCCGCCTGGCCTCCCACCGGGGTCGGTGAGGGCTCGGGGAGGAAGCGGAGGCAGCAGGGGCAGCCAGAACAGGAGCAGCAGCGGGCCCGGGGCCCGAACCAGCCTGGAGCCGCACGCCAGAACACAGCCCCTGCTCTCCCGCGTCTCCGGCTCCGTGGCGGCCGCTCCCGTGTGCTCCACGAGCGCTGCTCTGTGCACAGAAGTGCGTGTGCTCCCGGTCTGCGTCCCGTGAGGCGTGCGACGCTCTCCTGTCACGCAGGGCTGGCCGCTAACCCTTCGCCTCAGCGGGGACCGTGAGGCTCCGTGAGAGGAGCCACCTCAGCCCCAGCGGACCCTCACGGGCAGCGGCCACGGCAGAGCGGCCCCGGGGGGCCGAGAGCGCAGGGAGGCAGGAGCCCCCGAAGCACAGGGCCGACTCCTGGTGTAAACAGCCGGGCACGGCCCCACGGTCGGTCGGCGACTGCGGCGGGGGGAGGGGTGGCGCCCCAGGGAGGGTCCTTACAAGGACACATTTGGAGACAGTCTCTCAAAGGGTGACTAAGTTACATAAGGTCCCACGTCTCATGAGCACTGGTGTGTCCTCAGAAGACGAATCACTCTAACAACCCTGAAAGAACCAGCTCCTGGGGTCTCCTACGACTCCCGGTGCTGTGTCTTTAAACACCGTCTGTGCCAGGAGCCTGCCGACCCGCCTGAAGGTCCGAGCCCTGCTCTCGCTGCGCCCGCAGCGCCCGCTGTCCTGAGCACGCAGGGGAGGCCCCGGGGAGGAGCAGTCCTGGCCCGTTCCTGAGCACCCGCCTGTCGGCCTCCAGGCTTCCGTCCTCTCGACAGCCCAGCGCAGAGCCGCGGAGGCAGCCGGGCTGGAGCTGCAGCCCGGGCTCCCCGCACTGGTGCTCTGGGCGCGTCAGACCCCAGACTCTCCGGGCCAGCTTCTCCTGGCGCTTGCTCTGGGTAACAGCGCCCCCACTGGGGCAGCTACCAACGGGCGGGGGGGGGGGCTGTTCTAAGGCGCCCCGGTCAGCAGACGCACGGGGAACTCACCACATAGTGGAGCAGTCGAAATTCACCAGGAGCCACTTGTGGGGGTTAAAATTAAAGGAATCTGCAAACTGCCAAGAAATAATAAAAACAGAAGGACACATGAGTGATGACCGCTGAGGTGCAAGGCAGGACTCACACGAGATAATGAGCCGTGTGTCTTCTTGAGTAAAACAAGGAGGCCCCGTGGGGGTGGGGGGTGGGGGGTAAGTGAGGCCACCACGGCCTTGGGCCGGGTCTCTGGGGCCCGCGGGGGCCGCCACCGGACCCTCGGGGCCTCTTTTCACTCCCTTTCGAGTGGCAGTGACAAAGCACAGCTCGTGAACAGGGGAAGCTGATACGCGTCCCATCCTGGGCTGGGGCTCCTGGGGAGGAGGAGCAGGTCGGGGTCAGCGAATGGGTTCCGGCCCCCGCGGGTCCCAGCTGCAAATGACTGGCTCTGGGACCGCTCACCCGTGGTCGGCGCCGCCGGACCGTGCAGCAGAAAACGAGACTGCGGCAGCTGCGGGGCCACGGGGAGCAGGCTGCCTTGCTGCAGGGCCATCTGTCTGTCTGTCCTAAGGGCCGAGTGCCTGTGCTTTTCAAAGTGGGTGCCTGGGTCCCCCCTCCCCCCGACCGGCGACAGGACCTGGGTCCACCTGGAGTCCTGGGGACAGCGCCACGGTCCACGGGGCTAATGGGCAACCAGGGCAGAAACGATCCTCTGGCCAAACCTCCTAAGGGGTGGGGGTGGGGGCGGTCGGACCCCTCCCCAGGCTTCCTCTACTTGTCCCAGGGATGAGCCCCACAGAGGCAGGAGGGGACAAGGGGCCAGATGCACATCGGCGGGGCCATGGGGACGGCTGAGGGCCCGCTGGGGGGGGGGGGGGGGTGCAGGTTCATTTCCTGCCAGACTTCAATCAGAGTCACTTTGAGAAACAGGCAGGAAATTACAAAGTTTCGTTTGTTGATCAAAGGTAACAAAAGGTGAGAGAAAGGCTTTGTTTGCTGGGAACGTTATTAGCTCGCTCCTGGGGGCTGATCTGTTTAAACTTCTTTCATTACCCGGCTGTGATATTTTCATCTTCCTGCCGACGGGGAGAAGGCCCTTATCTCGCGCCAGGATATTGCAGCCCCTTATCTGCGCAGCTGAGCTGAGGGGGGCGGGAGGCAGGAAAGGGTCCCAGGAAGATGCAGCCCTCCTCGCTGGACCCGACATCCTGTCTGCCGCTGATAGGGCCCGCCCCCTCCCCCCCAGCCAGAGCGCCCCCCCCCCCCCCCCCCCCCCCCCCCCGCTGTGCTGGGCTGACCAGGAGGCACCCCTGTGAAAGGTGAAACCTCAAGTTCACAGGGAAGACGAGAGAGACGGCAGGAAAAGGTCTGAAACCCTAAACCCGGTGGTTAGAGAGGCCTGGTCCTGAGGAACCTCGCGGAGCCCCCAGGGACGCCTGGCCCTTCCCCTGACCTGCGGGGGAGGTCGGTCCTAGGGAGGCGCCTGTGCCGTCCCCATGACAAAAGGCATTTCTGGGGCAGAGGGACGGAGCCTCCCGTTCCCAGCACCAAACAACGCCAGCCAGAGGGCCGGGGGTCAGCACCCGGACACCAGCGCCTCTCACACAGCCCCCTGCTCACAGAGGGCTCCGGGAGCTCCGGGTCCACCCCGAGGATCGGTCTGAGCCCCCACGCACTCCCTGATCAGTACAGCGTCACCGAACGAACGAGGCAACGAGCAAACGCGGTGGGAGCACACACCAGAGGCGAGGGACTCGTCGGTGCCCCAGGGACCGCCCCTTCCAGAGCGGGGACATTCGTGCTCTGCCCCTCCGACCCCTCTGCCTGGCATGCCAGCGTTCCCGGCCCCGGGCTGGTGACTGGGCGGCGGATGGGCGGCCGGCGGGACGCGGGAGCGGAGACAGGCTCTGAGGGACAGTCTCCCGGGCCCCGGCGACAACTAATACCAGCATCTGAGGCCGGCCCAGCGCGGACTGCATGCCAGGAGCGGTCCGTAACCCATTAAACAGGATTAACTCCTCTGATCTTGCAACCGCCCCTCGAAGGAGGTAGCCGCTACATCCGTCGTGGGAGACACGGAGAGGGCACGCACCCTGCCCAAGGGGACGCAGTGCCTCCTGGAGTGACGCGGGGGTCCACACAGGCCGCCGAGGGCCCGCACTCCTGAGAACTCCCTGCCTGGCTGGCGGGGTCTCCGGAAGCCCCTCCTCTGAGCTCAAAACTGATCCTCACCTCCTCCAGCCCGGACATCTCCTCCCCCGACTCCAGATGCCTGCGGTCCGGGTGGGGGTGGGGAGCATGTCCTCGGATGAGGATTTACTGCTTCTGCAACACGATCGCGCCGAAGCGTGCACCCACCTCCACGCCGTTGAGAAGGTGCCGGAACTCGGGGCAGATGAAGGCACTGCCGGCGTACGCAGCGTCGATGTGCAGCCACAGGTCTTCCTTGTTACCTGGAGGCCAGAGGCGGCCGTGAGTTCTGCAGCCCACGTCCTCCTGGCGCGGGCCTGACGGCTGGTCTCCGGCCCGGGCCCCTGAAGGCCTCCCCACCTGGGGGGCAGCGCGGCTGGGGGCCGGGGGCGGGGGAGGGGAGGCGTGGGCTGCTGGCCCAGCGTGCCCGGCACCGACCAGGCACTCGGTGCACAGCATGAAGTAGTACTATGATAAAGTCAGAGCTCACTGCGTCATATTTAATGCCCGATCAAACGAACCCTAACAGTGAGATGGCGCCCTGGTGGAGAACCCCAAGGAAGGTCTCTCCCTGGCGCCCAGAGAAAACGGCGTCGGGGGGAAGTGTGGGTGGTACTCACAGACGGGCCCCAGCTCTGGGAGGCAATCGAAGGAGCAGCAGGACGTGGTCCCCAGGGTCGCCACCACCTGGAGGGCACAAAGCAGGCGTCTGCTCGGGCCCTCGCAGCTGCGTCTCCGCGCCCGCCCCGGGCCTGGGACACGGTGCCCGGCAACGCGGCTGCGCAGAGACGCGACCCTGGGCCCGAGGTGACCCTGAACATGCGTTGACCCTTGTGGGAAGCGTTGCAGCCACCTCTCCCCTTGCGTCTCCTCCCCCCGCCCCCACACATGTCGTGGTCCGATTCAGTGCAGCGACTCCTGCTTGTGGGTCGTGGAAACGGGACCAGTCCCCTCGCGGGGATTCTTTTCTGTCCGTTCTCGGGCACCCGGAGAGGGCCTAGGAGGAGACTGACCGAAGGTCAGCGCTGCTGGACTCGCAGGGCGAGGTGCGGGCGGATGCACGTTTCACGCAAACCCGAGTTCTGGCGTCGTTCGGAGCCTTTTGTAAAAACGACACTCTGCTCCCGCCCCAGGAAGGGGAGTGTCCGCGCTGCAGACAGGACGTGCGGCCGCCACCACAGCCCCCTCTGCTGGACGCGGTGACGGTCCCCGCTGCGCCTGACCTACGTGCGACTCCGAGGGGAGTCAGGGAGCCGCAGGGAGGTGGGGCCCGGGTGTGGTCAGCTCTTGTTGTCCACCCGGCTCAAGGGCCCAGCCCCTGGGCCACGTCCCAGCCCCCGCAGCCCCGGCAGGCGGGAGGCCGGGGGTGCCGGTGGGGACCAGGCCCTGGGGGGGTGGGGGGCAGCCCTGCCTGCTCAGTGTCCTTGCAGCCCGCCCTCATTCTCAGAAGCCACTCCAGCGCCCAGCACCTGCTCGGCCCCGGGCCCTGGCGAGCGCGGCTCGGTGACATTAACCTGATTTGAGCAGAGGCATAATCGAGTTTGGGCAGGAGGAGGGAGGGAGGGGACAAGGCTGGCGCCTCGTCTCTGACAGCTCCCCCCACCCCCCACCCCCGCCTTCCTGCTGCTCAGGACGGGGTCCCTTCCAGAGCCTTCTCTCCTGCCTTAGCCACCGACCTGCCCGCTGTGCTGGGGTGTGTGCCCGGGGGCACTGCCCTCTGCCCCTGGCCTGACCTCCGCAGCTGCGGAGGGTGAGTCCCCACGAGGCAGCCGGGGGAGCCACCACCAGCCCCAGGCGTCCCCGCAGGGCAGCAGGTCGGCCTGTGGGGCCCCCACCTGCCAAATGCACCCCTGGCTCTCAGCGGGGGGCCGTGGACTTTGAGGGGTGTGCAGCCCCTGGAGCATACAACGAAGCCAGAGACACTGAGTTATTTGGCACGCGCAGCGTGATGACCACTAGGTCTGTGGGTCCTGGCTCTGCTCTGAGGTCCGGGCTGCCTCCCCTGCTGGCGTCACAAGCCCTCGTTGCTGGTTTAGGACGCAGATCGGCTGTGTTTGCTGGAACTTCCTGTGATCATTCTCATCGCTGCCGTCTACCGCGCTGGGACGGCCCCGAGGACCGGGAGATACCCAGACAGCCGAGTGACCACGCAGCTGCGCTTCCCAGTCCCGGGTGCACACGAGGATCCCCCCACACGAAGATCCCCCCGAGGACTGTGCTCAGCGCCCAGGTCCGCCCTCGAGATTCCGGGAAAACGGAACCATCACCACCCTCAGGGCCGCCCCAGTGCAGCCGCTGCGCCACCAGGAGTGATGCGGCTGGACCCCGCCCACTGCCTCCGCCACGTGGGGGCGACAGTTCCCGGGTTCCGGCGGCCACGCCCTCCATGCCGTCCCCATGGGAACACGCCCGTCCGCGCGCAGGAACACCGGGGCCTCCTTGCGCACTGCTCGCTGGCGTCTCTCACCGGGGTCACGGCTTAGCGTTTGCCGACCACGCTGAGCTGCACTGCGCGGCCTCTCGCTTTAGCGGTGACTCGGCGCGCGCGCCCGTCGCGCTCACCGCAGGGCGGAGCCGTGACCCAAAGACCCTACAAACTGTGACCGTGTGGTGTCCCTTCCCAGGAAGCAGGAGCCGGGCGTCTCGCTGCCTAGCAGGGCCCCCCCGCGCTGGGGTTCTCTGCCCGCTGCGGCCTGAGACTTACGCAGCTCCGGCCTCGCTCAAGGAGGGGCCCACACGCCACCTGGCCTGGGACCTCCCTGGCCCTAACCCCAGGCCCAGGCCGGGCTCAGGCGTTTGCACCCCGCTCGCTGGAACTTACGAAGAAAGGGATCAGACCGGCCGCTTTGTCCCTCTCCAGCGCCTCCTGCAGGGCGGACGCGCGCATGGTGAACTTGTTGTCAGAAGGGATGGCCTTGAATTTCACGCTTCCGATTAATGCAGCTCTTTCCACGGAGCTGTGGGCCTGCGGAGAAAGCAGCAGAGCTGGACCCGTGCAGCCCACGTTGCCCCCACGTCCCCCTCTGTGCAGAGCGGGCCCACGGGCCAGTCTGCAGCTCGACCTGCCCGGAGAGCCCACCCTGGCCAGGTCCCGTCCTGCCCACCTGCTGCCCCAGCCCCGTGGGCTGCCCAGAGCACACCTGCGGGATCCACGGGGAACACCGCGTCAGACCCCACACGCGGGGACCGGCCCCCACGCAGGCGGCCAAAGAAGGGCCTTGACGCTGTCCCGGCCGCCTGTCTTCGCCACCCTGCACCGAGCTGTCCCCATCCAAACGCCTGGCTGACACACGCGTCCGGGACGGATACCCAGGGCGAGCGCAGAGGCTCTGCCTGGGGCCCGGGCTCCCTAGGACGCAGCTGCTGAGCCCTCCTGGTGACCTTCCGACCTTGGTCCCCCCCCGCCCCGGAGTCCCTTTCCCAGCTCCAGTCCATTCCTCTGCCGGTTCTCACCCTGTTCCGTTGCTGATCCTGGTTCTTTTAACCCCCTCATCAAAGGGCCGGTCAGTGGACCCGCCCCGGATGCTCCTGTTTGCCCGTTCGCTCCCCTGGGTCCCGCATCTCAGGTCAGCGACCGACAGAGGAGCGGAGGAGCGGCGACCCCCAGGACAGGTGCGTTTGTCCGGGCGGACGGTGAGGAAGGCTCAGAGGAGTTACGTGGTTTGCCGGAGACCACGGAACTTAAAACAGCGGAGCTGGGATGAGAGGGCAGGCCTCTGACACCCGTGTCTCCGTCCCCTCACGGCCCCTCTGAAGGCGGCCGGGGGGTCTCAGGGGGCCCCCCGCTCACTGTGGGCGGCCACAGCGCTGGCCGCCGTGACCTCACGGCCTGTTCGTTTCCAACCGGGTTTACGAAGTCCCCGCCTGCGGCCCAGGCCTTCTCGCGAGTGCGGGCGTCCGCCTCCGCGTCCCCGGACGGGGCTGCTGCTCGACCCCAGAGGATGCTGCCCCACGGTCTCAGTGCGCCACCGCGCAGCAGCGCCCGCGGATCTGGGATCTGGGCGGCTCATGCAGCCTCGGGACGCCGTGCTTACCTGGTCTGAGAAGTAGGCCACCAGCTTCTCCAGGATGGCGGCGTCCGTGAGCCCCGGGCGGGCGGCCTGCAGGCGGCGGGTCACTCTGCTCCGAGCGGCCAGCAGGGCCATCAGCGTGGCCTCGCTGGCGCTGCCCTAAAGCGAAGGGGGGTGGGGACGCGCCTCAGAGCTCAGCGGGGGCGGGGGGGGGGGTCGGAGTCAAGACTCTGGCGGGAGACGTGGGGTCAGATCTGCCGTCCTCAGGAGGTGAGTCCGAGACCTCGGAGGTCGCGCTCCTTCCCACGGGAGACCCGGGGTCACGGTGACCACCCGCCGCCTTAGATTTTCCTCTCTCGGAGGAGCCGTTGGGTCAGGGGCCAGCACCAAGCCTGGCTCCGTGAGCCTGGCCACTCGGACAGAGACATTTGTGTCGGCCGGCGAATGGGGGTGCTTTCCCGGGGACTCAGGAATCACCATGGAGCAGGGGCCCCCGACCCCTGGGCATCACTCCACGGCCTGTCAGGAGCCAGGCCACGTCCCTCCGCCTGCTGCCCAGCCCCTTCTTCCCCGAAACAAGTGCCCGGTGCCCAAAGGGTTGGGGGCCGCCGCCTCGGAGGATTCCCCCAGTGCCCCGTGTTAGGGGCTGATCACGCCCTCCCGGGCCCGAATCCCAAGTGGCGGGCGTGCTCAGCAGCGGGGGGGGGGGGGGGCGCACAGACATGGATGCACGCGGAGCGGTGACCACGGGAGGACACCGGGAGACCACCATCTGCCAGTGGCCTAGGAGAGGCCTCCGGATGCCGCCACCTTGGGCTCGAACGCCCAGCCTCCGGGACCGGGAGCCAGCGCCTCCGGGCCGTTGGGGCCGCCCCTTAGCCGGCGAAGGCGGCGCGTGCCGACCAGGAATCTGGGAAGGCGGTGGAGCAGGGGCGGCCTTCAGTCCTCCGAGGCCGGACTCGGCGCCCACCGTGCCATCCTTGGGGATGGGGAGACAGTCTGGCCCTCAGGTTCACCACCTTCAGGTGGAGAACTGCGGCTCGGGCAGGTGAGGGGACTTGGCCCAGCCAGCGGCGCGTGGGGGCCCGGCGCACATGAGCCCCGTCTGTCCTGCCCGGGCTGGCAGGGGCCCCCCCACACGTCTGAGCAGCGGCCCCCCCCACGGGCTGCTCGCGACCTCTGAGCCTTACGGAAATCCCACAAGGAACCCAGGAGCCGGACGGGACCGAGGTTAGAAAGACGACCTGTAAGAGGTGGGTGTTTGTTGACTGTGAGAGGAGGATTATGAGATTTTAGAGTTTGACCAAGGCAAATTCAATAAAAAAAAATAAAGGTTAACCTCTCTGCTCACACAACTTATCCTCTCTGCATTTATCCGGCTTGCCTATTTTTATTACCGATTTAACGCTCTCATTTCTTTCCAGCCAGCTCCCGTCCCCGTCCCCGGGGAGGACGGTCGGGACCCAAAGACAAACGCGCTTCCTCGCGGCTCTAAGACGCGCGCGCTCTCCGTGGGTCCGGAACCTCCTTAACTCCGCCTCGGAGACGGTTCCCGCTCCCTGCGGGCGGCCCTCCTGCCGGCGGGGGTGGGGGGGGGTGTTGTAGCAGGTGCAGTGTCGACCCCCCCCCCCGCACACCTGGTCGGAGAGGCCGGCCGGCGCAGCGGAGTTGGCTGCGGCGGGGCGTCTGGGCTGCCCGGATGGGGCTCGGGGACCCTGCTCCTGGGTGGCTGCTGTCCTGTTGTGCCCCCACGTTCCGAGTGCTCTGGACCCGCGCCCACCCTCGCTGCCGGTGGGAAACCTCGCTGGAGGCCCAGCTGTCGCGTGAGCAGCCTTCCCCCCAGCCCTCCCGCGGGGCTGCAGGCTCGCTCAGGACCCAGGTGACCTCACGGTGTCCCCACGCTCTGAGCCACATTTTCAGGAAAGACTGTGAACCCCCGTCCACGGCGGTGCCTCGGGGGTTTCCCCCAGGCTCTGTCCAGATCCTGAGAGAAGATTCCCCTCCTTCAGGCAACCAGAAGTGAGTCTTGAAAAGCCGATGGGTGACATGGTGACATGACTCTCTGTGAGCACCGGCGCCCTGGCCCGGGGGTGGCCCTGGGCTCGTGGCCCCTCGCTGGAAGCAGGCTCCTGCAGAGGGCGCAGCGGGGCGCCTGACCGGGGGCTGACAGCTGACGGCACCGCTGCTGTGTCACGGCAGACAAAGGTTGCCATGGCGAAGCTGCCCAGAGTCAGAGGAGATGCTGGGGGGGGGGGGCGGCGGGGGGTGCTGGCTGCTGAGCTGGGAGCAGAAGGGGCCCCCACTTCCTGGGTGTTCAAGTGCCTCCCACGCACACATGGGAAGTGACTTCCCCCCACCAGCACGCTCAAACCCAATTACGAGACAATTTGCAGCCCTGGCCGCCCCGCTCCGAGGAGGCTGTGACATCTGACTCAGGCACCCGACGCTGCTCCGGTGCCAGCAGCTGTGATTATGGCTCCAGGGGGCTCGGCGTCCCCTGCAGCGGCGGCGGCCTGAGGGCTGTCACCCAGCTCGGGCTCTCTGGAGCCTGGCAAATTACCACCATCCGCCTGTCAGCCGGGAAGGGCGAGGACGCGCTCCCTGCCTCAAGCAGAGCCTCGCTCCCGTCCAGCAACCCGCCCGGGTCAGGCTCCCGCGGGGTCGGGGCGGGGGTGGGGCGCACGGAATCCCAGCCCGGGAGCTGCCAGGACTGGTCCCAGCCAAGCGGTGGGACTTCCACTGGCTCTGGGAAATGGAGTGGACTCGCGGGAAAAGACCACTGAGAGATGTGCCCAGGGCGGCAGCACGCAGGGCTCCGGACACCGTGACCGAGCGGACGGCCCGGCGAGCCGGGGAGACACGCCCGGGCCCAGCGTGCTTTGGGACGAGCCTCGCCTGTCACCGGCCTGCGCTCTGGGGCAGGGCACACCGCCTGCCGGGGCCCGCGTCCTCTCCTGCGGAGAAGACGGTCGGCCGTGCGCCCGGGGGTGCCCGCTCACAGCCTGCTCGCTCAGGGCGGGCAGCCGGTGCAAAGCGGCTGTTATCTTAACAGATGGCCTCGGTGTCAAGGGTATTGAGAAGATCGTTTGAGCAGCAGCCCTTTAGAAGCAGCATCCCGGGCCGCGGGAAAGAACTGGAGGACACACGGTCAAGGTCCCACGGCCCAGGAGCACCGCGGATGTCTGCTGGGTGTGGGTTTCGGGGGGACCAGGACCCTGGGCAGGAGCTCAGCCAGGGAGCCCGCGGCCGGGAGCTGGGGGCCGTCTTCGGAGACTGTGGCGCCTGGGCCTGAGGGCGCCCTCTGACATGTCATCTGTGAGAGCGAACATATCGACACAATGCGTCTCGCGGGCTACTGGTGGGAATTGCAACACATCCCAGAAAACCATGCGATGACACTGCTTGCTCCCAAAGAGCGTTTGCGTGTCGGGAAGGGCTCAGGAGGGGCGAGAGAGGGCAACACCGTGACAGGAGCCGGCACGGCCGTGGGGCCCGTCCGTGTGGTGTGGCCTGTTTTGTCCACGCGCCACACGATCGGGTGGGGACACGGCGCCACGAGAAGCGCCCCACGGGTCCCTGAGTGCCTTTCTTTTTAACCACGGGGGTCCGTTTGTCACCAGCAGAGAGGGGGCAGCACTGTCTTCCGGAGTGAAATAGGTAGCAGGACCAAAGTCGACCCTGAGGGCGATACGGCGGTCATGCGGACAACCTAGACACGGATGCCGAGAAAACCGGGAGAAATCCCCCCAAACTGAGGAGGAGGAAGAGGGAGATGATGAGGACGGGGAACCACGAGAGACACCAGAAATCAGGAGCGGGGGCCCGGCCCGTGGAGGGGGACACTCCCGAGGACCAGGCAGGGAACAGCACCCGTGGCGGGGGCCTCCAGTCAGGGGGACGCCCACAAAAGGGACCCGTGGGCAAACTGCGGGGACTCCTAAAGGAAAAGGGAGTCCGAGGCATGCGTCTAGGCCGTCCTGAGGTGTGCAGTGGCTGTCCCCAAGGCCCGGGCAGGGGTCACCCGGAATTCACAGCCGAAGCCCCTTCCGCGCATGGCCCCCCACGCTCTCCGCTGTGACTCTGCCCACCCCCGACCCTGCTCTTCCTCGGAGGAGGACGGCCGTGTGTCCCCGGGGGGTCTCGGCCCCTTCACCGGGACTGGAGGCCCCGTCCCCACTGGGTGTGGTGCTGGAGGGGAGACGTCTCCCCCAGGCGGCCAGCGGGCGGGCGGCAGGACACCTGGCGAGGAGCGGACCATGCCGTCCATCCAGGGCGACGCTGGGACGCTGCGCCTCCGTGAGGGAGTCCTTGCGGCCGGCCGCTCTGTGCAAAGCTGTGAAAGCTGTGCTCCCGTCTCCGTTATCCTTTCCCCTCAGCTCCCAGTCAGCACCCCCGACGCAGCGTGTAATGCCGTGGGGCAGGAGAGGACAGAGGGAAGGGGCCTGAGCCGGCCACGTGGGCCCATGGGCCCCGGACACGCCCCACCGGTCACGGCCCGGTTAGCGAAGTGGCCCCGGGCTCTCTGCGTCAGTGTGGCTGGAGGCGCACGTCGGAGTGCTCATCCCCAGGCCCGTCTCTGGGGACAGAGCCTGGGTCAGCCGCAGGCCGGACGCGGGCCACCCGAGGAGGGCTTTCCGAAGACGCCGTGTGTCTTCCTCCTGGAGCCCAGTGGCCCCTCGCCTTACGTGGTGGAGGGATCTCGCTGATGAGATTAAGTTAAGAACCTTGACCCGGGGGATTATCTCAGATTATCTGGGTGGACCCCATCTGATCCCAAGGGTCCTTGCGTGCGGAGAGCCATCTGTGGTCACAGCGAGGGGAGGGAGGGCCTGCAAGGCAGGGCGCGGCTGGCTGTGGAGGTGGGGGAGGGGCGTGGCAAGGACGCAGGCACCTTCCAGAAACGAGAAGCATCTGGGGAAGTTTCCCCAGGGCCCCCGACCAGACCGGTGCCAGGCGCGCGTGGGGAGACACGCTGGGCGCGAAGCTGCCTCCCTCGCTCCCTTCGGCCGCAGCGGCTGGCCGTCCATGTGCTGTCCGGCCCTCGGGCCGCAGACCCCTGGCTGCACCGTCCTCGGGGCCTTTGGGGAGGCCGCAAGCGTCCCAGGGCAGAAGCCCCTTGGTCCCAAGGGCTCCGGCTCTCCTGATGGCACTACCACCACCTGGCTCAAGAGAGGTGGCGGCGGAGAGGGTGGGGGTTCCACAGAGCCCCCTTCCTGCTTAGAAGCGAAGCAGCACCCAGCGCCAGCCTGCTCAGTGGCGCCGGCCCTGCCAACCCCCCCACCACTGGGGCACATGACCCCCCACCGTGACTGCCCCCCCACTCCGTGCGCCGTGGCCCCTGACGCGCGTTCTGACCCACAGTCTCGGTCGGCGGCGCACGGGGAGTGGCGAGGAGGGTTCCCGCGTCCCGTAGCAGAGGCAGCCCCCTCGGGGGAGCTGAGGCCCCTGCAGACGCAGAGCGGGCGCGCTCGGAGCCTTCGCAGCCCACGGCCGCTGTGGCCCTGCGGGGGCACCCGCCGAGTGACAGTCCCCCTGGGAGCACGGCGGGGGGGCAGGGGGGGAGAGGGAGAGGCGGCGCCGCGGTCTCCAGGAGAAATGCGAGGACGCCCCCCCCCCACGGAGCACCGCCCCGCCCCCCACGGCCTTGGCGGGGGTCCCCCGCGGAGCCGCACCCGGGGAGCCCGACGCCCCGCCCCCTCACCTGGATGACGCCGCCCCCTTCGCCGCCGCCGCTCTCAGTCAGGAAGGGCGCGGGCAGCCGCAGCATCTTCCCGAGCCAGTCCAGCATCACCGTCTCCAGCTCCGTGCACGCCGGGCTCGCGGCCTGCGGGTCAGAGGCGTGAGCCGCCGCCCCCGCCCGCCGCGTCCGGGCGGCTCGAGACAAAGGGGCGTGCGGGTGGGCAGCTCCCGCCGTCCGTGTAGCAGGAGGGTTCACAGGTTCTCAGAAGGCCCGGCCTGGGGCGGAGCTGGGGGTGGGGGGTGCACCCCCTGTGTCCGATCTTCGGGGAGAAAGTGGCAGAGACAGGCCCCGCACCCAGCTCTGAGATATCCCTGGGCCCTTGTGGGCCGGGGAGGAGGCATCCTCTCCAGGGTCGAGTCCCCAGCCCGTGCCGCAGAGGCACGGCCACCCGCTCACCCCGTGTCCTCGGGGCAGGGCCCTGCCCCCCGTCGCTCACCCAGGAGAAGCCGATGCAGCCGATGGCCCCGCTGAGCATGTCACCGAGGAGGGCCGGGAAGGAGTTGGCCGTGGGGAAGTAGGCGAAGAAGTGAGGGCTGTGCCAGTGGGTCACCTGCGGGGAGACGGCGGTCACTCGGGGGCGCGAGGGGCCCGCCCAGGCGTGGGACCCAGGCCCGCGGGGTCTGCGCGGCGCAGGGCGTCGCTGAGAGCCGCAGCGTCTCCGCCGAAGCCGGTGTGCATGCGAGCATGCGTGGTGTCAGGGGCAGCTCGCCCTGAGGCCCCGGCTCTGTGTGTGAGAAGCCTGGTTTTTAAAATCTGCTCCATGAAAATAAAAAGTCTGTCTCAGAAAAAATGTGGGAAAAGGCCTTCAGAGGTCTCTCCAGCTGGTGTTGCTGCCAGTCCCCCACTTCCTGTTCGGTGCATCACCCCCCTGCTGCCGTGTCCCTCTGTCGCCAGACGCCATCAGGAGAGGGCGACAGGCAGGCAGGGTGCCCCACGGCGGTGACAGCCTCGGAGTTTGGGGAGAAGGTGGGGGAGGGGAAATGGAGGGCTGACCCCAGGTGTTGCTTCTTTAACTTGTTCTTGTCCCCGACGTGCACGTCATGTGAGAGCACAGCAGAGCAGAGCCCCAGGACCCCTGTGGGGCTCGGGGGTGACGGGGAGGGACAGGGGGGTCACTCGGGCCTCCAGGGGACAGGGCTCAGCGGCCGGGTCCCGCCCCCTGTCGCCTGACCCCGTCCCCGCCGCCCCGGGCCCTGCAGGGGCTCCGTCTCAGTCAGTCCCTGCGAACGCTGCTGCCCGGACAACTCCCGGGATATGCCCCGAGTCTGAGACGAGGCACCGGAGCCCCCAGGACAGGAAGGCGGCCGGAGCTGGGGGGCGGGCGGCCGGACCCCCGAGGTCCCAGCCGCCAGCTCCGGTGAGGCCGGGGGGCCAGGAGCAGCTGCGACGAGCCCCAGCCCCGGACCCCGGCTCTTCCAGGGACCTGGGGGACATGCTCATTTCTCTGGAAACCCAAAGGGAAAAAAATCTATACTTTCAGGTCAGAACAGAAAGTTTACTCCGTAACATTCAGGTAACATTCATCTTGATGCCAGCGCACTCCCAAATTGTAATTTCCCCCACGTGTCCGTGGAGGAGGGGCCCACGGCCGTGAGGGTGTGGCCTGGGCCCCGGAGGCCCCTCACCCTGGGGGTGGGTGGCCCCCCTCCCGCCCTGACACCCAGGCCAGGACAGGAGCGAGTCTCGCCCGGGGACACAGGCGGGCCTGCTCCGACTCTGACTAACCCCCACACGGCCCCGGGGACTCAGGTCCCCACGCGGCCCTCCAGCGGGCCGAGGGCAGGCAGACCCACAGCTATCGGAGGGGGGGGGGCTCACTTCCCACCGGGGGCCGGTGCGCTGCACGGGGAAAGCCCCGTCCGACCCCAAGGGGGGAATTCCACAGCGGCGTCCCAAACCATCCTGTTAGGGCCGGCCCGGCTGTGTCCCCACAGTCCGGGGTGGGAGTCCTCCCCCCTCCGACGTGGCGGCTCTGGAGGGCGGGGTCAGGGTGGGTCGTGGGGTGGCCGTCGTCGGCATGCCGGAGGAGAGAGCCCTCACCGGGAACCGGATCTGTGGGGGCTGTGACCTGGGCCCCTGGCCTCGGAGCCCTGACAGGAGTGGGGCGTGTGTGCTGCCTGAGCCGCCCCCCCCCCGCCCCCGCGTGGTGCCCTGTGTGGCAGCCAGCCCATGCGGCCGACCTTTACCCGCACGTCCCCTGCGGGGGGGTGCTGCACGCTGAGGCTCAGTGCGCTTGCAGCTCCTCCAGGCGAGGACCAGGATGTGCACTCGACTCCGAGTGCAAATGTCAGGGGCCCTCCTGGGGGCTGGCTCCAGCCGGAGCAGCTGAGGCCCCCCGGCGGGGGGAGGGGCCCAGGCCACCGGTCCCAGGGCCTCCTCGGGGTCCAGTCTGACAGTGGGGGTGGGGTGGGGAATCTGAGAACCCAACCACCGAGCTGCTGCCTCCGGCGGCTTCCCAGGCAGGGACACCTGACTGTGGAGACACAAAGCACTAGTGTGTTCCTTCCAGGACGACTCTCAGGATGCCGCCGGCCCTGGGTCCTGCCCACACCTGTGCCGGGCCCCCCGGGACCCGCCAGAGCTGTCACTCGGGGCAGAACCAGCCCCCGCCGCTGCTTCTACACCAACGAAGGCTTCCTTCCGCGCATGCGATTCACTCGCCTTCTGCCCCATGCGGAACAGTAGCAGGAAGCTTCATTTTGAGGGAGGGACTGTACTGGAAACCGGCCACCAGGGGCTCTTGAACCCCAGCCGTCCCGTTCTCTGGCTCCCAGAGCGGGGTCTCGGGCAGGGGCGGGGCTGGAGGGGCTGGGGAAAGCCGCTCACCGCCCTCGGAGCCCACGGACCTGGGCTGCGATCCTGGCTCTGTCACTTACTGGCTGTGCAACCTCAGTCTGGTCGCCTACCCTCTCTGGGCCGTAAACTAGGAAGGACGAGGGTGTCTGTCCACCGGGATGGTTGTGGTCAGGCGACAGAACACGTGTGCACCGCCCTGGGTCCAGGAGCCACTCTGCGCACGCACTGGGCGCCCTCCGACCCGACCCCGAGCACTCACCCCGGGCATGATGACCCTCTCCACGTCCTTCATGATGTCCTCGAACGTGTCCGGCTCCTGGGGGGCGCAGCTGGGGATCAGGGGGCGCAGGTAGCCGGGCTGCACGTCGGGGAAGACCTGGCGCCCCTCGATGCCCTCCAGGTAGTCGGCGATGTAGTCCACCATCTCCCTGCCTCTCCTCCGGAACTCGCTCGCGTCCATGCTGACGGCCGGCTTCCTGCTCCTGTGGGGGGCGGGGGGGACGAACTGCACTGAGACGGGAGAGACACCGACCGGTGGCCACCATGGAGTCAGCAACCACGGCCCACTGCTGCGGGGGAGACGGGGGGGAGGGGTCCCCAGGAGCCTACATAACGTTCGCATCAGCTAATCAGTACGTCGTGACCTTGCGAAGGTGGCCCCTGTCGGACGCCCTTCGGCACGGACTGACTCGGTCCCTTCGCTCTCCCGCCCGCCTGGGCAGCTGCGCCGCCGCTGCCGCACACCCGCCTTCCGGTTGGTTCCCGGACGGCCCCCGGCCCTGCATTTCCAGGTCATTTTCCACGGGGCCATCCCCAGGAGCAACACCCACGTGGGGACAGTGTGTCCCCAAACAGGCCACTTGTGGACGCAGCCACGCAGAGGTCGTCTGGTGGGGCACCGCCAGGGTTTCATCCCTATGTGAACATGTGCGTGTCCACACGTGTCCACACGTGTCCACGCGGGCCCACGCCAGCCCCTCCCACGCCGACGGTGGGCTTGCACGGAGATTTTTTGGGGGGAGGAGAAAGTGCATTGTGGGGGGGTCTGTGGGTGAGAAGAACCGTCCGTGCTTCCCAAACCGGAGACCCGAACGCCCCCAAGAACACCGCCCACCCGGCCCTGGGTGACGGGACACACAGGCTTCCGGACGCCCTCTCCAGTCGCGGGAGAGAACTGTGTGCCGAGCAGGGGGTGCGTCCTGGGCTCCTGCCGCCGTCCGGAGCCTCGCGATTCAAGGCTGGCCTCCCTAGCAGGGGCGGCCCTCCGGGGACCGCAGAGCGAACCACATCCCGGCGCCCTGGACAGCGCGTCCCCCGCCTCGTGTCCGGTCCTGGGCGCTGCTGTGTGGGGGCGGGGCGGGCTTTAGGAGGCTGCGGGCGCTCCGGACAAACTACTCACAGGACCCGAGTTAACGGCGGCCAGGCAGACTTCGCTGCAGGCGGCCGCCGGGGCGGGGCAGCAGGCGAGAGGGGAAGGTTTCAGGTTCCGTGAGGCCCATCGTTGTGTCCACGTTCTGGGTACGTCTTCCCTCTGGCCAGGGCAGAGGACCTCCTCGACTAGGCTGGGAGAGAAGATTCTGCACAACGGCCCCCGCGGATGAGCCGGCAACGGCCTGGGTCTGCAGTTCCCCTGCCTCTGGGTGCCCCAAGCCTGGGCCTGGGGCGCTCCCGTGCCCGTCCCAGCCTTCCCCGGAGGCTCCCGTTGCCTCCCAGTCCCAGGCGTCCGGTCCCCAGGCGTCTCGGGGCAAGGCCGCTGCGGTGCGTGTGGCTTCCCGGTCCTAACCCCCGGGCCTTCAGGCTTCCACATTCACTTCCCACTTGGGCTGACTCTGGTCTTCCCGAACTCGGCACGCTGACTGAACGCCGCCCGAGCTCTGCCCCGCACGCAGAAGGTGCGCGGGCCGGCTGGCCTCTCCGCCGTTCGGCAACGCCGGCCGAGCCCGGCCCGTCGCAGGATTTTCCAGGGCGGCGTGGTGCTCCCCGGTCTGGCGGGGCTGCGGTCCCAGGGCAACTTCTGTGGGCGAACGTCTCGGTTCTGGCCAGTAGTTCCCCGCCTTTGGGGGGGGGAGCTGGTGGGACACCGCGGCCAGGACTTCGGGGTCGGGACCCAGAGGGCCCCCCGACTTGGGAGTTTACCAGCCGAATGGCCTGAAGTGAGTCCCTGCTGCCATCCGTGTCGACTACAAGCGCCCCTGTCCCCAGGGCGACCTCGACAATTAGATGGGGCCATGGGGACAGCCTAGAACAGGGGCCCAAGGTACACATCCGCTGTGTTAGTTGTTGGCTTTTCTGGAAGACGCTGGGATGGGCAACCTCACGCTGGCGTTTCCGAACACCGTTTTGCATTAAAAATTTGTGAAAGGAAGAGTATTTATAATTTTTTAGAACAACATTTTTAAAAGATTTCATTTGTTTTTAGACAGAGGGGAAGGGTGGGGGAAAGAGAGGGAGAGAAACATCAATGTGTGGTTGCCTCTCATGCGCCCCCTCCTGGGCACCTGGCCCACAACCCAGGCCTGCGTCCTGACCGGGAATGGAACCCTCAGCCCTTTGGTTCGCAGGCCAGCAGGCAATCCACTGAGCCACACCAGCCAGGGCCAGAACAAATTTTTAGAGACATGCACTTTTAGTGTTTTAAAATTATACGGCCAAATTTCTCCTAAAAACTTTGTTGTTGTTGTTGTTTTTAACCAAAGGACTGCCTCACGGGGAGGGACGGAGAACCCTCATTTTGCCGTAGAACCATCACCGCCGGGTTTGCGCTGGCGTTTAGGATTTGGCACGACGGGCGCTCCTGCTCTCGCTCTATTTCAGTCCTTCCGACGGTTCCCCTCGTCCCGGTGCCCTGGCGCTGCTTCAGGGACTGCGCGCCCACCGCTCCGTTCCCCGACGTTTGGGCCCAGCTGCAGAGCAGAGCACCTTCACCTCCGCCTGTGACACGTGGTGCAGACACCGCCTTCCTGTTTCGCCTGGCCTAACCTTGCTTGCAATTGTGTTCCGACCTCTCGGAGTTTCCATCTTTACGTAGTCGAGTCCCGTGATCTTTCCCTCAGCAGCGGGCACCTTGCGAGTGACAACCTCTCCTTCTCGACCGAGGGGCGGCCCGCGCCTCCCACGCGCAGGCGATGCGGAGCGAGGGGCGCGCGGGGTTCGGGGGCTGCCTGGCTCCCGGGGCGCAGCTGCCTCGGCAGAACCAGACGCGCACGCACCGCCACTCCGCCCCCCGGCCCGCCCCCAGCGCAGCGGCCCCGGCAGATGCGAGAGAGGCCCTGGCCGCCCTGTGACAGAGTCACTGCCGGGTGCTTGCTTGCCGGTTGTTTCCCACAAAGAGCTTCCTGGGGAACCCTTCGCCCTGCCCCCCGCCAGCCCTGTGTCGGTCGTGTTCGACAGACGAGCCCGAGAGGGCGGGTGCTGGCCGGGGGAGGGGGACACTGACAGAGGCCCCGGCGCCGCCTCCCTGGGCCCCAGGGCAGCCCCTGTGGGCACCCTCCGGTGACGGCGCCTGTCTGTGCCGCATGGGGCGTGAGCCGGTCGAGTCCCCGGACCCCTGGCCTGGCGGCACCGGGTCACTTTGGGGGAGGCCCAGCCCGGCCTCGGCCCCCCACGCCCGTCTCCAGAGGGGCCGCAGACAGTGTCAGGGACATGCCCCGGTGCCCAGGCCCCTTGGGGGTAGGAAGGGGGCGGCCACCAGACCTCCCACCGGCTGGTCTGAACCCCCACCCGAGGGTATGTCTGTTGACTTTAGAAAAAGAGAAAGGGAGGGAGAGGGAGAAGAAACATGGATGACGTGAAAGAGAAACAGTGGTTGCCTCCCTCCCGTGCGCGCCCCGCCCGGGGACCCCGCCCGCCCGCGGCCTGTCGGAGCACGGGACAGAGGTTCTCGGGGCTGGGGCCGCCCGGCCGGGGCTCCTGGGGCTTGCTTTCATTATCGTCGTGCTTGTCGCTGGTCGCCGGCGAACGTGATAAGCGAAGTAACACAGAGTGTCTAAAGAACCCGGTGTCAGCTAGAGTCTGAAGAGTTAGAAAAGGTCTCAGGGGATTTAGTTTTTGTGGAGGCACGGCAACAGTTAACAGACAGCCGTCCTGATCACCAGACACGTCTCATTGCTACTAGAAGCTTCCGTATGGTCTCAGCTGGAAGCTGAACCCCTGTGGGGGTCCCTCACGATCCTGCACCCTGCACAGGGGACGTGCTCACGGAGGGACCGGCGGATTCCGGGGGGAAGCAGCCGGATTAGCTCGGGGCCGGGCCCACGTCCCGGAGCCCCAGGAACAGAAGAAGAGAGGCACGTCCTCCCAGTCCCAGGGGGAGGCAGGCTTTCTGAGCCACGGGCCGGGGTTCCTTCCTGCGAGGAGCGTGGGAACAGGACTGCGAACACTCTCCTTCTGTCGGGGCGGACAAGGAGGGCCGGGGGCGGGGCGGGGGGGCTGCAGGCCGCCTGCGGGGCCCTGGGGCCCGAAGGAGGACCGCCGCGCGAGAGCAGGGTGGGGTGTGCGGGACACAGACGCCGGTGCACGGGCCGCCAGGCAGAGCCCTGGCCTGGTCCTCGGTCCCCTTGGGCCTAGCCCCCACGGGTTAGACCGGGGACCTCGCACCGCCGTGGTTTTTAGACTGCGCCCCGGCCGCTTTCCTGCTGTCCTGCAGGTGGGGCTAGAGCAGGCGTTCTTGTGGGGGCAGGGGTTTCCGGCGGCCGAGGAAAGCACGCGCGTCTGCACAAACGTGCGCGTGCGGAGTGGGGTGCGGGGCGCTCGGCCCGGGCTCTGCTCTGTGTGACCTCTGTGCTGACGCGGCCCCGAGCCTCCCCTCCTGTCCCCGCCCGGGAGGCCGACGCACCAGCAGCAGCCTGCCCGGGGGCACCCGAGCCGCCGTGAGGGCAGGGCGCCTGACGCACCCCGCGCTCCGCCCGCGGACGCCCCGGACTCGCACGCAGGTGAGGGCCCGCCCAGCGGGCGAGGCCGGAGAGCAGGTGGACACCCTGCGGCAGAGCCTGGAGACGACTCACTGGAGGAGCCGGTGCCTCCCGGGCCCCTGCTCTCTTGGATCCCCTTCCCGCGGACGGGACAGGGAGACATGGCCTCGGGCTGCTCTCGCCGGGGTGTGTCCGGCTGTGGCCGCCGACCTCCCCAGGCCTCCGCCTTCAACCCGGGCGATGGCCCCTGTGCCAAGCAGCCCGGGGCATCCTACCGGGGCTGAGATCCTTCATTTGTGGGGGTGCAGCATGTAAGTTCCCTCTCCGCGCTCCCAGCTGTGCAGACGGGGCCCTGCACAGGCCCAAGCCAGCGGGCCGTGGCTCCTGCCTGGTCAGGGGGAGGCCCCAGGGAGCCCCTGTTGTCCAGCCGGCCTGCTCTGGATTGGAGCCCCCTACCCCTCGCCCACCTCACGGCCCCCTCAGGACTGCAGTCCAGGGGACAGCGTCCTCCCTCTCAGCAGCCCCGGGGTGTGGGGTCAGGGGGATCTGCGTTCAGAGTAAAGGGGTCGCGC